AAGTTATCTGCCTAGATTCTTAATCAAACGCAGTTTTTATTTTGTTACAAACTTTTGCGCCAGCAATGTTTCTTTTCGTGTATCCATGGCTATGCCAGAATAAACTGAACTGAACTGAACTGAACTGAAGGTATGTGGAGTCAGATTGAAGCAAAAAAATGTCCATGGGATGTATCAAAACTGCTCGCCAAATTCGACGTGGAACATCATCCTAAATTGGAATTGATCGATGATAGCCAGAATCAGTTTTTTGTCTATTGTCATATAACACTTATCTAATCTGAAGTTTTCGCGTTCAACTTGCTGATATCGTGAACAAATGAGATAACTGGATGATAGATGACATTCTGAATGTTCAAATGATAGTATTCTAAAATATATTTGAGAAAAATATATATTGGGAAAATTCGTCAATATTTCAGCAGCTTCTGACACCCATGACAAGGTGTTTTTACGAAAAAAATCTTTTGTACATGTTTTTTAATTGATTTTCTTATTTTTTTTAAAAAATGTCTACGAAAGCTTTGTGTAGACCAGACACATAGTTTTGCACAATTAATAGAAAAAAAAGCATTAACAACAATAACAGAGTATCAAAATTCTTTACCGTAAATATGCATTACGATAAGAACGTGTGATGAATAGAAATATATAAGCCGTCCAATATAATAGAAATGTTTTTGTATACCATTTTAGTCATAAGAGCAAACAACCAGCTTTTTCTTTAAATGGATTGTCTTTTGGACTCACCCAGCCACGTACGAGTACATCAGCCGATTCATGATCTTGACAAAATTTAATTATATCTTTACAAACAGTTGAAACTTTTTGTCTATCTATGGATGCTTCTTGACGAAGCTGTTCAACTAATTTCTTCTTTGTACCAACACTTGACATGATTGCTTGTTTGTAAACTAAAATAATAAAACCAACTATTAACTGAATTATATTAGACTTGAGTATATTTTATCTGTTGCTAGTCCTCTAAAAAAAAATTAATTAACTTATTACCTTATATTTTCTCTTACTAAAACAAATGCGCAATAAATCTAAAATAAGAAAATGAGCAAATATTTAGAAAGTCTTGTCGTGTTAATCTTTTTATCTTGACAAAGCATTATATTTGAACAAAATATGTAAAACGACAAATATAAGTGACAATTCTCTCACCCTTAGCTAAATTCACTCAGACAAATCGTCGAGTTTTTCATCTCACTAATTCCGTTTCCATATTCTAATGATAACGTGTACATGAACAAAGAAGCCAAAAAATAGTAACTAATAAGAAACGACTAAGAATAAACCGTAAAAACACATCGTCATAAATGTATAAAACAAAAAGCACATAGAGAGAAAGTCTGCGCGCATCCAAATCAGGAACCAAACCTTTTTCGAAGAAAATCTGTTTTCTGACATCTTATAAGTTCTTCTCCGATAAAACTTCGCTTTTTTTCGTTTCAGTTCATCCTAATGACATGGGTCGAGAATATCAGTACTAAGAAAGATCTTAAGTGATTCAATCAAGATGTTTCAAGGACTTGATAGTAAACTCCTTCAGATTCTTAAGTGAAAAGCTTTTTTATATTTCCTTTTCGCGTAACACTGCCATGGCCACCACACATACAATTATATATGATCGTAGTCTCTCCTACGAGCCTGTCTTGTTCTTAGGTTAGCCCCCTATTGGCAGGACTCTAAACTTCAATGGCTACAGAAAAAGATCAGAAAAATCGTGTGATGACACGTAAAATCTAATCATAACCCTGTTTTTGTGATCTTCACCATACACCCACTTGGGTATTGGTATCTTTAACTAACTAACTCCTACGAACAAGTATACCCAAGAAAACGAAAAGATCGCAAAGTTATTCCAAGTATGAAAATTTTTGCACTAATATGTAAACAAGAGCGTAAAACAAAAATTACGCTTGGTTGTTTATCAGATGACTTAGATAATTTGCATTGTATGCAGTAGAAAAAAGGTGTAGAGCAGAAAAAATTTCGGCTCAAATTCAATTCAGAAGATTACTTACGCTAGTGTATTAATCCACAAAAGTAGATGATAAGTTCACCCAGTTTTCTAAAATTCAGATTTAGCGTAGCGTTAGATAAAACGTCATTTGCTTAGCAAAAAGAAAAAATGAAAAATAATACCACTAACAGAAATGAAAAGAAAAATGAAGAAAAAAAGATTTAAATGGAAAACACGTTCTCACCAGCTAATAAGATTTTTTTCTTTTTCTTCAATATCAGATATACAGTTTTCTGCTTTTATAAGGTAAAAATATATTATTTATTCACTTTATTTATTTTTTGTCAAATTTTTTTTTGCTCGATTTTTTCTGCCGTTAGTCAGTATATGCAATTTCTGTTCCATAAAAAAGCAATTTCCCAGTTTCACTAAGTCTTTTATTGCTTGATGATTGATAACTCGATTGATGTAGAGTTCAAAAAAATATAAAGTAATGAGCATGTCAATCGTATATGTTTGAGTCTAAAGAGTGGCCCAGAAGTCCTGTCTCATTCAGTATTTTCTCAATATCTCGGTCAAGATTGATCGCTAAGTCTCAATCTTTTTTTAAAAAAACCTCATTCAATTCTCTACGCAAAACATATTGAACAGTTCTTCATATACTATAAGAATAAAAAAATATAGAGGAAATACGGGAACGCTTCAACATCGATTACTTCAAACCCAAAGCGCCACCAAAAATTATTTATTTTGAACACAGTGGCTGTCTTTTTAAAAAATAGATTGAGACTTAGAGATCAATCTTGAGTGAGATATTGGAAAAATGCTGAATGAGACAAGAATGAGACCTTTACACCACATAGAAGATCAAAGACATTATCATTGAAAGAATAATGAGTAAATATTTTTTATTAGCAATCTATATAGTCTGCGTCGTTAGTAATTTGATGATGATGATGATTTATTGCGGAAGACATGACCACGCCTATTGCTCGTTTTCATGACACAGTCGAGAGATAAAGTTTAAACATATTATAAACAAACAAACACACATCTTTAAAAGAAACAACAAGGTATAAAACAGTTTAACAAAAAGAGACAAACACCTTTAAAAGAACCAAATAAAACAGTTTAACAAATAAAAAAAGAAAGAGACATCACAAATCATAAATTCAGCAGTTTATTGGGTTTAAGCGCAAACGCAATATGTTTGTTTCATACTTTTCTTAGTAAAACAGATAGTTAAAAATAAGATTTAGAAAGATATCATCTGTAAGAAAACCGTACATAATAAAAGAGCGAGACAGCTGGAAAACAAAGTCTTTTAATAAAACACAAGAAGCGCGCTTATAAAGTTCATGAGTGAGAAAACATGATGGGAGACGTAATGCGATTTTTAAACTAACGTTTTGTATGTGTTGAAGTTTAGTCCAGCTAGAAGTGGAAATACATAAGAGACACGGAGAAGCGTACGTTAACATAGGACGAAGATACGTTTTGTAAACAAACACAGCTGTATGAGGAAGAAGTCCCCAACGTCTGCCACACACGGATTTTAAGGCACCCATACGTTTCCGCGTACGAATACAAATATCATTAATGTGAGCACAAAAAGACAGCGACTGATCCAGTATAAAACCTAGGTTTTTACTTGTTTCAGTCCATTTCCGTTTAGAAATAGGAAAATAGATGAGTTTTTATCACGTGGACATTTGGAGAAAAATAAAGACACTGTTTTTGAGTAGCTGATTTTTAAACGCCACCGCTTACAATAGGTGGAAAGACGATTACAGAATACTTGTAACAATTGTTCGCCTTGCTTAGCATGGAAACATTCGCACAGGGCCGCTAAATCATCGGCATACATAGAGACGTTTACTTTCGCAGAAGTGCAGAAAGAAGGGAGATCGTGAATAAAGAAATAGAAGAGAAAAGGAGCGAGGATGCTCCCTTGAGATGTACCGAAAAGGCAGTCATATAGTGAAGAAGAATCATTTGAAGCTTGAACAAAAAATTTTCTATTTTGGAAATAGGATTTTAATATATTGCCAAGTCGAGTTGGACATTGTTTTTCATTTAGTTTAAAAAGAAAGCCATTACGCCAAATTTTGTCGAAAGCTTTTTCGAAGTCGACGAACAGACCCACTGTTCGTTTTGCTTTTATTGAAAGATGTTTATACTTTGCTGAATTATATTTAAAATCTGATCCACTGTACACCTGCCTTTCCTGAAACCGCTTTGTTCGAGAGGGATGATGTTATAAAAATTCATCCACGCGATTAGCCGTAATGCTACGAGTCGTTCAAAGACTTTAGAAAGGTTTGGGAGAAGACTAATAGGGCGGTAGCTGCCCGGGTCGGTTTTCAGTTTGTCTTTTTTAAGTAACATACGAATTTTTTGAATTTTCCAGAAGTCTGGGAACGTCCCTGATGTCCAGAGAAAGTTAAAAAGAAAGCAGAGAACAGGAAGAAATCAAATAGGAAAGTGTTTAAAAGCAACGGCTGGAATGTAGTCGTTTCCAGATGAAAGTTTAGGTTTAACAGCTTTTAGGACAGACGCAATTTCTACAAGAGTGAAAGGAGTATCAAATTGTGAGCAAGGAGTAGCAGTGAAGGAATCATTGTTACTTACATAATGTTCGACGCTGTCATAGTATGATTTGTCAAATTCATCCGCAGGAAGAAAAGACTGCTGCACAGAACGCGCAAGAAGATTAGCCATATCTATGTCGTTTGTTAGAAGTTCATTATTAGCATTTTTTAATTCTTTTATTTCTGAATTTTCTTTCAGGTTAATACATTTTCGAATGCGTTTCCAGAAAGAGGGATCAGTTGAATTTTGTGTGCTAGTGCAGAATTTTTTCCAGCTAGTTTCTTTTACTGAAATCATCTCCTTGCGTATACTTTTATCCAGCTGTTTTACTTGGACTTTAAATTCCAATAAACCGGTTTTATAATAAAGTTGAAAAAACTTTCTTTTCTGATGGATCAAGTTGCCAAAATAAGCTGGAATAGCTATTCGATATTTAGGTACTTTTTTAATGGAAGTCGCTGCATCATACACGAAAAAAATCGCCCCCGTAACTGCGTTAGTGATATGGTTGGTGTCATTAGAGTAACGAATAGAGTAAAGTACAGACGCAGAGACGCTAGATAGTTCAGAATTAAACAAGGACCAGTTCGTGCATTTGAGAAGATATGATGAGCAAAAGGATGAAACAGAAATGTCGAGAGATAAGTTAACGTCAATTAGAATGGGAAGATGTCCGGGAGTGGACCATAGTTGACAAACATCGAAAGAAGAGAAAAAAAAAAAGTCGTTAGTAATTTAGTTTTGATATGTTCTCTCTTTTTCTTTATTGTTTTTATGATTAACTTCGTTATAAGAGAGAGAAAGAGAAAGAGAGGCAAAAAAAATTATGAAACTTAAACGGAATAAAATTCATTGTTAAAACCTACGTCCTGTTTCATTCTTTCAACGAATCGTTTAATAATGCTTAGAATTTATTATATTCATGGTTGTAAAATGGATTACACTAAATAAAGTAATTAGTACAAAATATATTTGCAAGCAGAAAACATATTTATTTCAAATGATATTGAACGCGTTTTTACTGCTACGAGCTTTTCATGATCCTTTCTTACAGATGCATGTATTTAGCAAGAACTTCTCGGAGAAAAGTGCCGAGCAAAAAATTTAGATATCAGTCACAATCAGGGATGGTCGGTTCTCGTGAAGAACCGGAACCGCGATTCTCTTATTTTCGATTCTTCATCGGCAATTGCAACCACAGTGTCGGTTTTGACACTGAAACCGGACTCACGGTTTTTTTAGACGATTTCTTTTCTTCGGAACCGAAACTGTCTGATTTGCCTTCCTTGTAACAAAATGAAAACACACTATTGACAAAGCTATAAAAAGATATATTTACTTGTCATCATTTAAAAGAATCCTTTCCTTTACTATAAAATGAGTTTTTAAAACTCATTCACGAAATAATATTTCGTTGAATTGTTACTGCCTGAAAAATTATTTTCCGGTTCTAAGATGAAAACCGAGAACCGTGGTTCTGTTCTAAGTTCGGAACCGAAATCATGGTTCTTTTCGTTTCGGTTCTAACTCAAGAACCGGAATCGCGGTTTTGGTTCCAGAACCGAGAACCGAACATTCCTAATCGCAATTCATCCGTCAATACGTTCTTTAACTCTTTGCGCTGCCAATTAAACATTATTTTTTTTAAATATTCTATGCTTATTATACTCACCCTTTGATTGTATATTCTCACTACTAATACGTCATAATAATGTGTGGTGACGGCACAAAATCCTTAGTTTTAAGTAAAAGAAAATCTAATTTCATTCTTTGTTCGAATGAAATGCAAAACAAAAGAGAATGCTTCCGTTCCGAGAATGCCCTAGAACAGAAAAATAACCAACGAACAACTTAACCTATTTGGGATAAAATAAATAATAAAAATAAAAAAATCCTTAATTGTCTTTCATCGATGAACTTCCTAATGTAAACTAGAGGCTAATTATGCTACATAAAGACTATAAAGTTGGCTGCATAAAACGACTATAGGAGAAAGTTAAAACATTCACAAATCTTTTGTAGAATTCACACGAGATTTGCACGTTATAACAGTCGATTAACTGAGCGGTTATTTTCACTCTTTATATTATATGTCGTACGCTGTGATAGTTAGACATCTGTGGTTATGTCCATGAACAAAAACAAACTTTTCTTATGATCATGGGTACAAAAAAAGTGTGGTCGCAGATGTCGAGTGATAGTTAACTATATTGTATCGAGCAGTGATAAGTGTGTACATTTTACAAAGTGAATGGAACAGATTCCATATTCAAATCTGACTACTTGTAGAACCACAGAGAAAACATGTTACGTAGTAGATGCTTTAGTAGGATCGCGTGATGATTAATTCCCTCTGTGAAAAAACCACAAAATGCTTAAAAAAATACAAATTTTTCGAAGCTTATTGTACATTAATTAAATAACATATTCAAAAAATAAACCCAGATCGCCCATCTACATAGTTCTCTTATATTCGATTGATTTTTTTCTAAATTTCGACGAGAAGAAATATCTGAGAATTATTGACATTGACTATTTATTTGTTTAACTAAACCCAGATGTCAGCAGGTAGAAAATCTCTCACCTCAAAAATTTATCAAATAGCCGCTCTTCTAAAAGTTCTAGAAAAGGTAATTTTTCTGAGCTATTTAAATTTACCTATGCATGTATATGCTGCTCTATGAGAATAAAATAAAAGTTTTTGATTTTTGGAAAAAATTTATTAAAAACATAAAAGTTGTGTTAATTTAAATATACATTCATTATGTCCATCGGTATTGAAAAAAATTAAAAACAACCAAAGCCGGTAACAAAAGAAAAAATTAGCTTGTAAAATTACTAACAGTCTCACACACATTCATACAGATCTTTTTCTTAGTCAAAAAAGTTTCTGCATCCGAGTGACAGCAGTTAAAGTAAAAGTAGCACCAACGTTAGTTGTTACCGTGAGTACAAAAAAATTCTACAGTCCACTTTATAGACATATATTTTAATTAACAATATCTACATACACCACTTTTTCTCGCACTGTTGAAAGTTCAATTTGGGAACAAGACTAAAGGGAAACAACTTAAAAGTGCTCAAAAGTCTTAGTCTATTAATTGAATAAGAAATTCATGAACTATTCAATGGTGTCTGATCTGAAATCACGCGGGTTCTTCTCAGTTTCAGCAGTCATGAGATTAAACAATATTTCTCATATAAATGAGCAAGCAATAGAAAAAAAAGTTAATCTGCTACAAACTACTTGATGAATGTTACAATAAAAAAAAGCTTTATTGCATGGTAATTCTTTACACTTGACTAAACATCAATCGTTATTTAAACGATACCTCACAACTGAGAAATAAAGATTTTATGATTGAAAGGAGTAAAATAAATACATAAGTTTTTTGTATAAAAAAAAAATCATCAATAACAAAAAAACAAATTCAAACTGTTTAACAGATATGAGATAATACATACACAAAAACATTATGCTGATCTGATGCCTAAGAATGGCAAGAGAAAAAAAGGTAAACAGCAAAAGCACAAATTTTTACCTAGCCGTGACACACACACATACATTCTCATCAACAGAAGGCCCCTTCAAAATTTATTATCTTAGGAATGCAGAATGGACCGAAATGATCTGCGTTTTTGAGCTAAACTGGTTTCGAATAAGGAGAGGAGAGTAGCTATTCTTTAGTTGAACTTGATCGGCGAAATAATATTGACAACGATGTATTTCTAATAACTACTGAATGAAAATATTCTCTTTATTATGCTTCTATTTCATGTTAGTAGACGAAAAGCATCATCGAAGTTCAAAGAACTTTCGAAACGGATTCTTAATAGATTCTATATCTCTAGTATTAGACTTAAAAGTATAATTTAGTACGATTTTTCGTAATTAACAACAAGAAAAGGTTCGAAAATGCAGTTTTATGGGGAGAAAAATCGATTGATAGTGGTATCATTCATAAAATATGTAAAAGAGAACTGAATCAAATAAAGAAAACACAAACAAAATGAACCATCACTAAAAAAACAAACAGATATAAAAAACAGCGAACAAGTGAATTTTTATGTTTTAGTAGTAAAATTACACAAAAAATACATTTTGTTTTAGATAGAATCTAGTGCACAAGAAGATAAAAATAAAATGAGCAAAATCGAAAGTTTGCCTATTGCTTTTAAACCACACAATAGTAATGAACGAATATGAAACTGTTCATCGATTAAAATGCTAATCAACGCTGGAAACGAGAAAATTCAGTTTGCAATCATTTAGTTCTTTGATAGATTGAACAAGAAAAAAGAATATATTTTTGCTTTAAAAAAAAAAATCAGAGAGAAGAAGACGCATAAATGCTCATTGTAATTTGCTAACTCAAATGTCTCGGTGCATTGGCGAACATCACTTTTAATTGATATGCTTCTGCTGTCAATATACTAATATCATCACTTGTCCACGAATGAGTCGGAAGATTTTGTAATAATAATAATAAACCCTTAACAAAGAAAAGAAAGACTATGAAAGATAAATACAGTAAGCTCAGACTACTCTCTCCTTCACATTCGTTCAACGTTGAGATTTTACCTGAAAATCTTTTTCCCGTAGAAGATCTTTTGAAAATCGAACTAGAAAGGCAGCACATATATATAAATGAAAATGTGAAAAACCATCTTGCTCAGCCTAGAATAAATAGGAAAACATTAATTTCAAAAAGAAAATTTGTTTTCAAAAGTAATATACATGATATGTATCCCATAGCCGGATGGTACATCGAACAGGTAATTCTCTCATTAATAAATTATTCATCCAACGAAATGCAAATTGTAAAAATTCAATATGTTGAGTTTTTAAATGGCGATAAAGTGGGTCTAGAACAAATAATAGTGCATACTTTAATATTTGTACAAAACAAGCTTAATGTAAGATTTATAGAACAATTCTCAATATACAGCAGAAGAAAGAATTTTATTGGAAATTCTCATTTCCATACCATCTATTCGTTTAATTAACTCTTCTAATGTTCGAACTTTATATTGTATTCCTGGTTGAGCAAATGTGTAATTATCTTGTATCCCATCAAGTAAACTTGATGTACACCAATAACTATCGGCTTCAATAATACGTAAATGTTCTTCAGGTAATGAACCAATATCAAAATTTTCAATTTCAACATCTAGATATAAATAAATAACAACAAATATAATGCGAAACAGCAATTATTTGTATATACAAAAAAGAAAAATATATGCCGCAGTTACCATTATCAATAAACTCCGATAGAAAAACAACGAAAAATGGTGTAACTAAATCATTGATGCCTTGAACATAGCCACTTGCTGGATGTCTTATAGCCCATATAAATAAAATACGTTCAAATAATTCTTGAACAACCAATTGTTGAAATATAGGCATCAATGGATTCATACGCGGAATATCAATATGTATCTAAAGTAAGCTAGAATGAAATATTTCATTTATTTTGGATTATTTATTTTTCTTTCACCTGTCTAAAAGTATCTTGATGAACAGACTCAGATCTTGTGTGATAATATTGGCTAACATATGACCAATATTCGTCACGTTTTCTCTTCAACGTATCATCACGACGATCAACTTTAGCTGGCAGATAACCCTAAATTGAAAGAGAATAAAATATTAGAGAAAATTAACTTTCGAAAAACATGTACTTATAACATACACAAAGTAGTTTCCAAGCTTCTGCACGAAATTGTTTTGGTATTCCGTTCCAACTTGTTTTACGAAGTTCATCTAAATTAATGTTAACAATTGTTATATCTCACAGAACAATTCTCTCTATACTAACTCAGATCTACATGTGATTGTTCAAAAATTTGTTTAAATTTATTTTCTTTTTGTGAATCAATATCAGGTATTGTAGTGATAGTTGATCGAACTTGATTTGTAAAACGTACGGGTACCATTGTTTTTGAACTTGGATGTTGTCCGAGACGTATGCCAATGCCAGGACAAGCAGTCGAAGATGAACTAGATGCTACTGGACGACGTACTAAAGTAGATAAAATAGAGTTTTTATTAAAGAATCAAAAGAAAAAATTAGACTCACCAGATGATGCCTCCAATGTCACTTTCTCAGATTCATTTCTTGTTTTATGTTCATGTATAACACGTTTTGCTACTTCTTGAACAGCCTAAAATGTTCAAAAGCTAAACAATATACACAAGTTTACAATGTATTTAAACCAAAACATCATTCGATTTGTTCAAAAAATTATTGATAAGATTCAATCGTAGAATAAGAATTCGAAACTAGCAGAGTAGTATCATTTCATAATAGAGATCGTTTTTAGTATTATCGTTTTGATAAAAAGAAAAGACTTCAAACTTTGATAATCTACTTGTTTTGATATGAATGGTTCTTCTTTATCAATATCATTTTCTTCATTTTCACTTTCTAAATCATCGTCAATTGCCCATGCGTCAACAGTGTTATTCATATATTCAGTGAATGCTTGTTGTTCTTTTACATGATTTTTATTATTTGGCACATTTTTTCTGCAACACAAAATAAATTAGTAATTAACTTCTGTAGATTAACAGTGCAAATACTGACTTATTTGATTTCGATGAAAGAGGAGGATGTTGGGCACCAAAAATGGGTCTGCCGGGCAGGGAATGATCAGCTTTCCATAATTTACTTGATGCATCTGCAGAATTATTGGCAATCTTACCAAACATTTTTACCTTATTCTACAGAAATACTTTGATGTTCAGTTCAGCATCATGATATGATACAATTAAATCGACTAAAGTATAAAGTAGAAGTAGAAGAAACCGAAATTCATGCAACAATCACATCAACTCACAAATAAATCAGAAAAGTATGAAATTGATTTATACTATTTGGATTTATAGAATAAGTAATATGCTAAGTTGAGTTGATATTATTTCGTTCAATATAGTTCTAAGCTATTATATATAGGAAAATCAATAAATACAAGAGCCTGTGCACAAAAAGTGAATTAGTCTCTTTTCGACCAACGACATTGTTCTTTTAAACCTCTGTATTTCAATACTTTTACCATTGTCGCTAAGTATTCCGTAGTCTATGTAGATACTATACCACAGATCTGACGATAGTTAAGATTCATGTTCTGAACGTCATTCTCTGAACGTCATGTTCTGAACGTCATTCAAACGACAGGAATAAGATCGTTTTTTTGATGCTCCAAAAATTGTCTAGGTTACATAAAAGCTTGCTATCGAGAGTGGCTACTCAGTTATAAAGTCTAAATCTACTTCCGAGAAGATTTAAGTGCATCCTTCCTAATTCACAAAAATGACTGTAGCAAACATGAATACAATGCCCGTGGCAAGTAATTGAACGTTATTACTACTGTATCTATTACTATTTTCAACTTATCACTTCTTTTTGTTCGATGTTTTAGTTTGCTGAAGGTCAAGATTTTGATTTGTACGCGCATGAATCACATAAAATTATTGAAGAGCTCATTACACGTTCTCTGAATCATGTTGATGATAGAAATAGTGGACAGACAGTAACAAAGTTTATTGAATTAGAAGATGATTGGAAAATCGAGAATACGGAGTGGCCTACGATTGCTGACTTTAACGAAAAACTTGGTGCAAACAAAATTGTTGAATACATAGAAAAGGTACTGTTAAAATGACGAGACAATAACTGTGACGTAAGGAATAAAATTATCATTTTCTTTCTTCAGTGGAACTATGATAAATGTTGGTTGTATGCCATCGATTTCATGGAAAAAAAATCTCTGGAGTATACGGATGTATACGAATATCGCGTAAGATTCAGTATTCCGACTAGACGTCAGCCAATACCAAAACATACCGCAAGTGTTTATTTTTCAATTGAAGTATCAAAAGTACAACCAAAAGTAAGCTTTTTTCTGCTCAGAAGGCCGAGTTTCTGAGTATTTCTAAGACTAAACCTGTTGAAACAGAGTGCGCGATATCTTCTGAAAATTGCTTGAACACAATTCACAGCTTTACCACTGGATTTTCTACATTTTTCCAGCTAAATACAGAATGCACATGCAATTTTGTACTCAAAATTCTCATTAGAAACATTGAAGCTCGCGTCACAAACATACTTATATTCATACTCGTTTCCTATACCATTTAGTGATGTTATATCGATTGCTTCTCTTCGAGCGGATCTAGTTAACGTTATTTCTTCATATAGCTGTTTTACTTTGCAATTTTTATCAGATTCGCAAAGTAACATCAATAGTGCTATTTATCAAAAGTGTACATAAATTTATATTTTTAGCAAAATCATGTCAAAGTTTATTTTGTATTCGAAACAATGCGTCTTATTCATCGACCTGATCAATTTCGATTTCGTCAGAATTGGCTTATCGACATAATTACACTAAAAGAACGAATGTTGGAGGGTATTGATTATTAATGTTTATTCTATCTTTGTCAAACTTTTCGTTACTGAGACATTCAATGCTCAAATATCAATCTGCACAGTCCTTCACATAGTATACGTACTTTCACAAGAAAAATAAATAAAATAAATATTGATAGTTCGAACGTATAAAAAACAGATATCTAAATAAATACAGTCCAGAAATGAGTTTCGTCAAGTTTGATACTGCATAATTGATTGGGATTAACAAAACAACAACAACAACGAAAAAAAAAATTACATTTTTAACAACAACTAGATTGCATGTATAGAAGAGAGAAAGAAAAGAAAATCATGTGTGTATATCTGTCAAAAGTGAAAGGATTCAAATAAAATTAAAAGTGTAACTCTCTGTTTACTTTGAGTCAAGTTCAGTTACAAACAAACAAGTTTTGATCTCACTCGGGTTAAAAAGCACGGCAGATGCGTGGTGGTTACTTCTCAAAATTCGATTTCAAATGATTTTCTCACAACGTCATTAATTACTACTTCTAAATGAGCAAATCCTTAACCTATTCCATAGATATGACAAAAAATCCTGATATTCTCAAAAATATCAAACATTTCTAGAAGTCAATTGATTCAGTGTTTGTAAAAAACATTAATTGAATATTGCGAAAAAACTAACAAACACATTCCTACATACATTTAACAAAACTGATGGAAGAAAATGTGATACCGGTAAATAAAATACCAAGGCTTTTGTGATTTAATACATCCAAAAAAAGTATAATGGGAAATAATTATGTGTGTAGATGCTCGAACAATGAACAACAATAAGTGATAAAGTAGAGGAAAAAGTTCGACTATTCTCGCAAAATAAAATAATATCGCTTGTCAAAAAAAAGTTACAGAAAAAATCTAACAGGCTAAACATACGGAAGATAAGACATAATTTATGAACATAGCACCAAATCATATTTTTTTTTGTTGTTTTTCACATAATACTATTGCAATTTTTTATATTAATAAGGGAAAACAAACTTTATGAGGCTGCACTCGTTTGAGTCACTAACGATGACAAACCGATTTGATGATCGATTTGGACTGATGGATGTCTAGAGTTATTACTATCGCGTGACTCCGATTGATATTTACCACTACAAATTTTCTTTTTTAATAGTGAAACACGATATCCCCGACAAGCAAATTCAAAATCAATAGATGAAAACAAAGCATTTTCACCCAAAAATTGCACATGAATTGGAGATGATGTTGTTACGGGTAGTTCGTGTTCATTTTTATTCACGTTATTTTCCTTCTCTTGATTGTTATGATCAATACTGAGAGTAGATAATGTTGCTACTAATGTTCCACTCCCATCAAATGTATAAGGCACTTTCCATAAAATTTTATGTTCGGCTAACGACCTGAAAAACAGAAATAATAACCTTCTAAGCATTCAGGAATAAAAGACATTTCAGTCTTCAAAATTTGCAGCAAACAAAGATATTACGATTAATTCAAGAGACATTCTTTCGACCGTACGATACGAAGTTTTAAGGGTACCCCTCCTCTTTTTTCACCTTGTTGCCAAATACGGAGCACACGTCCGATCGAGGTCAAATTTATACCAGAAATAGAAGAGCGAAAAAGAAAACCGATGTACTTTTGCTCAGAATTTTGTGACATGATCCTCTATAGGTTTTCAGCATTTTTCGTATATCTCGAGAAGGAAAGCATATTTTTCGGAAAAAAATTTTTCATTTTGAGACAGGATCTGGAGTAACTGTGATAAAGATTTTGACTCGATAGGACCATTTTTTCGAGGAATCATAATGTGACTGGACGAAAATCAGAGTTTTCCAGAAACCCCATAGAAGATCATGTCACAAAATTCTGAGCAAAAATACAAGACGGGGGGAGGGGAGTTACCCTTAAACAGCGTATAAAAGTATGAATCTACTTCTAAAGTCTACAAATCACAAGTGAATTATGTAAACTGTAATCTATTCATAGAATTTTCGGTACCATTCAGCCATGGGAAGTGAGTCTGTCAGTTGATTGGCATTATTGACAAATGTGTGAAATATAACAAAATCATTAATTAAACGTATGTTATCTGGAAATGCGGAACTATTAAATCGATAAACAACGTTAACGATAATTGTATCAGACGTTGTTGTCCATTGTGATGATACTTGAATTGGAACACTGCTGGGTCCCGTATGCTTAACCTAACAAACAAGAATCGTGTTTTGAAAGTACAATAAAAACAACGAAACGTAACACTTACTTCATATTTTAAAACACCAAAATTAAAAAATGGTAAATTTGGATTTTTTATTTGTAAGCTTTTAAGTACTTCAGATAATGCAGTCATATTAAAACTATAGACTGGGGCATTTTGTTCGGACAATGTTTGATTTCTACGACAAAAAAAGAAGATATTGAGATTATACGAATAGATATTGAGTAAATGAACGTACAAACTGACTAGTTGCGGATTAGCAATAATATTGTCCACTTTTGTCAAATTTTTTAAACAAAATTCAAGTTGAGAAAGATGCGGAGATGGAGTGGCCAGTAGATGCAATATAGCAGCGGGAAATGATACAAGCATATCACCTAGTATACGAATTTTCCATCTAGAAAAATAAAAATAAAATGAAAGTGAATAACTAAAAAATGACAATTGCTTTTACTTTGTTTGATCATCTCCATTCATTACTACATGAACAGTTTCTTGGTAAGCAATTGCTATTGGAATATTATCTGTTGAGCCAATTGTTAACGGTGATATACGATCATTCGTGGATGATATTGAATTATTCGTGCCAAACTGTAAACTAGCAGACGTTCCTATACTTGCATTCTGCGTAAAAGGAGTAGTACGTCCATTGGTAATAGTACTGTCAACAGAACTCGAAGACACTGATGATAACTGTTGTGCTGTACTTATTGTTGGCTGCTGCTAAAATTAAGAACATAGAATAAAGAATTTATCTCAGAGACTGCAGAGACGTGCAAACTTAGTCATTATATATGTTCCGATAACGCCTGCTATTTGCCAAATATTAGCATGCAAAAAAGTAGAAATATAGAAAAATCCGTCTTGAAGTTTGGCACGACAACAATCAAAACACAAATACAGCTATATTGGAAAAATTAACAACAGGACACAGAAGTGGAAAAGTAGTGGCGTAGCCAAAGTTTTATAATTTACACTACTCTGCGCTAATGTTTACCACTTTGAAAAAACTTGGGGCAACGCCCATCCACTAATAAAATCCTATGAAAAAGAACCTATTTATATACACGTTTAAAATGGCTTTCTATAAGTTGGTCACCCATCATCTTCCGATTCATCAACACTGTTTAACTCATTTAATATCATATATTTTCATTTCTACTTAAAAACATTCTTTCGATTTTCATTAAATAACAATTCGTTTGATTTTCATAACACTATAATGAAAGATGATGAAATAACGATAACAGGATTTTTTTCATATTATTGCTGTTAAACAGAAACATCTTGTTCGTTAGAGAGTTGGGATCTCTTAACTTGGACACGAAAGACATTCTCAACCTTGATATCAATCTATCGATTACTATTTATTCAACGACAATTATTGTTGTTTTTCTTATGTTTATCAGCCGTCTCTGGTTGATGCGTTTTCCACTTTCTATATTCAAATTATTGTGGCATTTTGTTCATGTTCTTCAAATAAAATGTATATAACAAAAATTAACTTCATCTTTCTCAACATAATGTGCAATCTCAGGTGGAACGAACACGATTTCACTTTGTTGATAAGATTGATTTATATTATACTGAATTTGTTATTGTTTCATTGCTCAGATTGAATTGTTCATTTGTTCATTTTTATGATCTTTAAGAAACGAGTGAACACGATGATTTTGTACAGTTCGACTTCGAATCAACTGTCGTGTTGTACGTTTCTCGATTGATAGTGATGAAATCATGTTTTACGTAAACTATTTATTTAATGTAGTCCACTTGGACTAACTGAACATTGACTGAATAGCAAACAATCCGAACAACGGCGACATAAGAACAATTTGAGATTGTTATTTAATGTGTTAAGAGACAATGACATACAGAGCATGTACTGTGATCAGAACAACATAAAAAGAATAAACTTGAATAAGTTGGACACGAACACCATGGTGGATGATAATTATTCGGATTTTTACATTAAAGGGGATTAGATTATTTGACGCATAGCTCTAATTGAGAACTACTATTTCGGTGATCAAGACTGATGTTGGATAATTAACAAATATCCATTGATTGCTAACGATGAAGAGAATTGAATGGAATAACAAAATAAGAGAGATGGCAATGGTGGCTGACATTATAGAAAACAAGACAGGCGAAGAACAGAACGCTGTAAGTGGGTGAGAGCCAAAAGACGCAAGGTTCAACTTTATAGAGAAGACACAGGTAGAATCTTAACGTTAATCAAGTCGATCAACGTCGATGCGTATTAATAAAGTAAGTCATTGTTGTCTGCTATATGACCGTCTAACTTACAATTGGCTGTCTCGTACGAGTTATCGGTCTCGGAATTGTGGGAAATGGTGGTGGTGGTGGTGATGCTTGTTTTATTGTCATCGGACTATTGGATGTTGAAGAATTTGGAAACGAATTTGCTACTTCCGCATCTTCTTCATACGATGTGGTAACATATTCTAAAATACATACATGTATGTATAGTGGTATGACTTTAAGCAAAAAATATTTCTTTTACTTTCGTGGTTATTTGTCAAAAAAGGAGCCTGTGGGTTTGTTGATGAACTTAATGAATTTGAACGCTGATTTTGCCACACATCATTTGAATGAGACAAGTTAACAACATTATCAGTTGTCGCACTTGTAGACATAGTCCTATATATAAATAAGAAGAACAATAATAAAGTAGAACACACTAGCACATACACATACGATGTTGGATGCGGAGGTGGTGGAGGTGGAGATCTCATTTGACCAACTGATATCGATTTGCTCAAATCCGGTACTTTCTAAAAGAATGCAATATAATACTAATTTTTTTTTTGAACCGGTAACCAAAACCAATGGCATGTGTATGTGCGTGATTAATGAAAAATAGCCTAATAAAACATCTTTGAGATAGCCACATTAAGTGTAAAAAGAAATATAATATTATTTTGAGATCATTAAAAAAAACAGCACTTTTTCCTTGCTCTTGTTAAAGCATAAACCATCGAACACGAAAAAAAAAACATATCAAAGATGAACAAAACAATTCCTTTTACCTCTTCCTATAAATTTAAAGAAAAACTACATGAACAAGTGCTTCAGATGAAATTCGGAATACGAAAACTATTGAAAAAAGAATATATCACTTACACGACCAGTTGCTCTTGAATATGTGGCTAAATGGCCAATATTTTTATCGACTTGTTTCATTGCATCACTAATTTTTGATTCATCACCTATTTCTGTTGTTGCTGTTTTTGCTGCTGGATTAATTTTAAATTGTATTTTTGCCATTGGATAATCATCATCATCATCATCTGAGCTTGTTGACGATTCAGATGATTGTTGTTGCTGATGATTATTATACGCAGTTGAAAATGGTATAGTACTTTGACAGTTTACCTGACGTTTATCAAATGCTTGTGGGCTCAATTTTTCTCGACTATAAGGTTCAGGTGTTGGCTAAACGAAAAAAAACATACAATGACTTGAGTTTAGATCTCTATTAACAAACATAAAACGTACACATTTGCCTTTTGGAACAGGAAGAACAACGTTTGATATTGTTGTGGGCGACGGATTGAGAGTTTCGCTACTACCAATAATTTTGCCAATATTATGTTCACTTAGTTCACTATAACAATCATAACACACACAATACACTGAAGTGCTTCCATGACTTTTATCATGATTACAAACCCTAAATTGTGCAAGGTTACTGGAACATTCTCATCACGTTGTGTATCAGGAGCATTTTGTTTTTGAGCTGTCTTTTGAACTTTTTTTTCTTTACTCTTTTCTTTTCTAGTTGGCCATAAACCTAAAATGTACATAGAAATAAGATTTTATACTCAATTCATGCCAGATATAACATGCAGCTATGATAGTGGTAATGCAGTAAGTGAACTTAAACAACTAGATTTGCGTACAGTGGATAAAATAATTAAAATATCTCTTAAAATATACCTTTAAATGATGGTTTTTTTATTTTAACGTCAAATGGATTAAAAGGATTACTGCCTAAAAATTGTTCACTGGCTGTTGTTAATGTTGTTGTTGAACTTTGTAAATGAGAAAGTGGATGGTTAGGATTATTTAAACTTAATGTAGGAATATGTGCTACATTATTATTATTATTGGTCATCGACGATGAACTCGATGCTAAAAACAAAATTTATCGATTAAAATCAAATCAAAAGGACGATTGAGACGAAAAAAAATCATTTTTCGACTACTAAAGACTGGAGCGTGTGTAAATTACTAACAAAAATGGTAGCCTCGACTAACAGGACATTTCCTCGAGTTTTCAAATGAACTGTTGTATGTTTCTGTTAAGCAAATAGTAGAGCATCAGTTAAACCTTCTTAACTTCTATTTGCGTGGGAAAATAAGCTTAAATATTGGCTTTAGTCATTAGTAATATTATTTTACATGCTTAGTTTTAGTGTACGAGAGAACAGACAATAAAAGGATTACCATAAACTTTATGATGGTTTCTATCTGTTTTCAAAAAAGCAAAAGGTAGTATACACGATCATATGTGAAAAAATAACTTTTTGATCCTATCTATTCCATAAAAAAGAAGATTTTTGAACGATTCCTATTACGTACGTCGATTATTCTCACTTTTTTTCATTGTAAATGTTAAATTTTGTGATGGTAATGAAGCATTGTATGTTGAATTCGTATTTGTATTTGACTCATTAACAAAAGTAATCATTCCATATGTATTGTCAGTATTATCAGGCGTCGGTGTACCTTGTGACGAATTTGTCAACGATGGTAATATTTTTATATTATCTAATTCTTCGAATTGTAGCATCGCTAGAAAAAATTAGAAAAAGCAAATAATTTGCAGTTGACTGCAAGTCTAAGTACGTATGTTCGAGTTACTATTCGTATAAAAATGTTTGCATGTTTTTTGATAATCCCACTTTTAAAAAATACTATAATGGGATTTATTTCCACTTAAAACTATGAACTGTACTTCTAATATGTTCTAGAAGAAAATTTCTATTTCTAGTTAACATTCACTACAGGCTTTTTATGTTTCAAGAGCAACAAGTAAGACCAATTTTACTGTTCACGTTCAAGACTCTATGATAGATCTATTCTAAAGGAAATTAACATTCAACTAAACTGTAGAATAATAATCACTTACCGGGACGCTCTACACCAGTTTTTTTCTGTTCAACAAATGTCTCTAATAAGTCTTGTATAGTAACTATATTTAGTTTATCATTAAATTCTGTATATGCCAATTTGATATGTTCATTATTGTATCTTAATAAATCTGAATAACTTTGACAGTGTTTTAACATTGTTTGTATATGTTCTGTTTCATAATCTTGAAATTTATTACTAACATCATAAAAACGTTTTTCAAATTCATTTCGTATAGTATTATATTTTTCTATTAATGATCGATACTCCAAATTTGTTTGACGATATTTTTTTTCTAAACGTTCAAATTGTCTGTTTGATGATGTCAATGTTCCAAATGTATTTGATAATGAGGTGCCTAGTTGTTGTTGACCACCACCGTTCGTTTCATTCAGATTTCCACCTCCTCCTATTGTAGTACCAATATTCTGATTAAGTCCACTTCGTCTTAACTCCGTTTTTGCACGTTCATAATCTAAGGTCACTGTATGATATACATCTTTGGCTTTATTTAAATTATTCAACGTTTGATTCAATTGCTGAATAAGATCAGATGTCTTTACTATATCTGTATCTTTTTGAATTTGAACTTTTAATTTTTTATTATAGGAATCATGATACGAGTGAACATCACGAATTAAATCCTGATACAATGAAACAGTTGTTGAATGAGCTGATGCTATTTTTTCTAATAAATCTCGAATAGCCGTCCATATTGGAGAAAAAGTGCCTGAAATATTAATTAATATATCTTAATGTTGTTTATAAAGAAAGAACTTATACTAACTTACCAACATTTTGAACTTTAATTAGTTGACTTGATATTCGACTTATATTTTTATGATAGGTCGATTCACACTGAAAGCTAAACAAAAAAGGTCGACGTATTTTCTTTTTACATAAATTTAGCAACTATCAAATAGACAAACCTTTCATTTAAAAAACGTTGAAATTCTTCGATAGCTACAACTCCATTTTTTAGATTAGTTGATAAAACTTCGAATCCTCTATCACCCCAAAATACTTCGTTAAACTGCACCATAATATCTAAAACAAATTTGCAAATCCATCAAAAAAAGTTTAGAAATATTATTATAGGAATCACATGAAAATTCTATAGATACGGAATTTTATTGCTTTTCCATAGGATTTCCACTAAGGATCTTGACAGAAGTAGTGGAAATTGTATTTTAGTTTGATATCTTTGAAAATATTCTTAGTTTATCGAAAAGCTTTCGACTTTTAATCATTTTAATCGTTCTCCTTTTTCATGTTTTAAGATGAGTGTGCCATGTCGAAGTATGCCCATTGACCAAATATTTCCTCGAAATTAGTTTGAAAATACTTAATTTTTATGCATCTTTTTATTACCTATATTTACATACTTATTCTAGCAAGAACATGTCTTCTATCGTTTCCGTTTTCTGTACTTTCACATGTGCAAAAAGAACAGAGTTTAAAAATATTTCTTCTTTTCTGTATTTTTATTACGTTTAATCTACATCAACGCTTTTGAAAAAAAAAAAGAAGAAATATATAATTTCTCACTGTTCATCTTCGTACCTTACGATTAGCAATGTGTAAGACGTGGTTTAGAAATAAAATTAGTAAATAAAGTGATTAGTAAAAAAACAAAACAATGAGTTTTCTAAGCACAGATTGCTGTTAAAGTATGTTCTTCTATTCAATGAATCACTACCGCTTGACTCTCATAAAAGAAGCAGTTTTACTATTTCTAACAACCGGATTTTATTGCTCATCCTTTTGATACTAAAGTTCAATTGACTTTTGTCAATTCTTATCAAAACTTTCGTACGCGATTGAATTGAACTATCTTTTTGGAATGAAGAAATTTCTTTACCTGTTACAATCTATTTTTCCTTAAGTAAAGATAAACACGAACAGCTGAAGTCTTAGTTGTTTCCGTGATTTATATGCTTCGTTTCACATCACGGAATAGACATAATTTTCAGTTCTGAGCATTTTACGAGGAAAATATAATTTTTTTACCTTTACAGACGCTAGTCGACGATCGGATCGATCTGAAAAGTTGCATCAGCTATGCAGTTTCATCAGAGCTGAATCAGAGTCGAAATCAACTCCGAAAAAACTGAAAAGTATTTTCCACAAAACATTTTTTTTCGTTCTTACAGATTCAGAACTGAATATCGTTATCAGGATCGACTCAAATCAGGACCGTAGCCAGGAAGGGAATCGGTCTTTCCCCTCCTGGACTTTTGAAGAAACGATTTTTTTCCACTGAATCTCGTCAAACTTCCTGTGTTTTTATACTTTCCAGTGAAGATTAGATGAATGACTAACGTTATACTTTCGGTTCTCTTTCTTTAACGTCAAACAAGAATTATTTTCTGTCCATTATCCATGTATACAGTAGTGTTTCATTTTGTCGAAAACAGGATAAAAAAATAACAAGCCAAAAAATAATTGATCCTCCCCTTCGCAAAAATCCTGGCTACGGGCCTGACTCAAGTAACCACATGATGCTAATAGTAGCAGATAATACTGTTCTTATAGTCAAATTTATCTAATTTTTGTACTATTCTAGTTTTTTCTCAATGTTCCAAGCAGGGTTCTCAATAAGGGAGGGGAGCAGAAGCGTAAAAAGAATTTTTGACTTTCTAGCAAAATCTTTGACGTTTTGCCACCAGGATTTTAATGTAAGGTTAATTTTTCATTGTTAGTAATAGCATCGTAACGTTAATTTTCAAAAATCTCTCACCTTAAGCAATATCATATAATCACCTTTTTAGAATGATAAAACCTAAACTACTCGTTTAGTCACATTCTTTAGTTTTCAATCGATATGGATTGATTTTGAGCGAGATATCACCATTTTATTTTTGCAGTAGACAGTCTAAAATTATTTAATTCCTTCAAAACATGTTCATTATGTTTTACGCACGAAATTTAGAATGGACAATACCCAGTGGATCCATTCATTTTCAAGGTTACCTAGATGTGATACTTAGTATCCCAGGAAAACTAATATAACAGCGAAAACTTCGGGTCTGTCATCTTTCTATAAGATAAGACGTTGTTTAAAAAATATCCACGTGCACTATATTTTGAAACAGTAGTATTTTTGATAGTCAGTTGTATCGTATCCTGTGCATTATTTGATAAGACTATTTTCCTCGAATAAAAAGTAAAGAACAGCAGAGTGACAGCTATAGTCGATTACCATTTTCTGTACTTCCAGTCATATCGCACTATAGATTACAGAAGAAACGACTCACAGCAGCGTGGCATCTAGTTTATTGTGTTGTCATTGCAATGTTTAGAAACCAATAAAACCGCAGGGTGAGTCATTACAAAAAATATCTCTTGGGGCTTCAGTTTTCAGTCGTGCAATTAAGATTAGAAAATCCTCTTATTTCTAAAGATTTCTAGAAAACCTTCGCAAAAATCAAGTACTTTCTAAAACTTTTGTTCAAATGGAAAGATACCCAAGACAAAATGAGGAATATCTTGAAAATCCGGTATAGTCTGGATCAGTTGTGACGGAAGTATGAACTTTTTAATTTTCGATGAAAATGGCCACAAATGGATTATTTTACCTAATAGAGATTTTCAATGAATTCTGAAGTTTTGCTCTGAAAACAAACATTGCCATGAGAGTCAGCATACTCGAAAACCTATGTCTGGAGTTTTATTGAAGGTTATTGGAGCTAACCAGACTAAAATAGGTAGGTCCTAGATGAACAGCTGTAGCGCCCGAACCAATGTAGGTAGATAGAGACTTGGTACCAAATCTGAAACTTTCTTAGTGGAGAAGGAGCTTACCTAAAAGTATTGATGAGGTACACCATCTGTGGGTGATAATTTTCGTTTTCCATAAATCGATAGTCCCAATATTTCTCCTTCGAATAGCGAAAACCGCGTGTCTCTAGCTCTTCTCTATCAAAAGTTATTCAAAAAGCAATGGAGTTTCTTATATTTTGAAGTAATTATTTCCATAGAGAACTAGAAAAGTAACCTTCTTCGTGTTATTCCATTAGATAATTGCCAGTGGACGTGATTTGTCTGTTTCATCCCTACTTCATTTTTATGTTTTAGTTAAACCTATATAATGAACTAAATGTTGTTTTTATTTTCAAATGGGTAATTTATTTTCAAGAAAAAATCGTACTACTTTGATTGAAGGACAAGTAGACGACGAGCACAATGACGTTGATAAGTATGAAGAATTTTTTGACTGTTTAAATAATTCAAACGATGATAATGATGCATCTGAAATAACTCACGAGAAAACTGAATCACATTATTATGCTGTATGGATTCCATCCAATGTTGAGAAAATGGGTAAATATCGACTACACACAGGAGAAAGTCATTAGTAGAATATTTTCTTTCTAGAAACAGAATTTATATTTGACAATATGAAAAGTGCATTTGCACTGTGCAAAAAGTATAGTAAATATAATAGTCGTGTTAAAGTGTTTTTAAGTCAAAATGATGCCGAAAATTTTATTCGTGTCAATGAAGAAGATATGAGTAGTTCGCTAACAATCAATAATATAAATCAAAATGTAAGTATTTTAATAGCTCATTTGATGATAGAAAATGCTAGTCTACTAGTACAAAACCTTATGAGACTTTGGTACGGAAACGGATCGTGAGCAAGTTATACAAGCATCAAAGTGTTAATAATTCTTTTGAAAAATGAGACGATGTGATATTGATCTCTATTTTTAATTGATATGAACTACTGAATATTCTGTAGCTCTTAGCTAAAACTTCATACGAAATTCGAATAATTTTGACTCCTTTTACAAATTCTATGTTACTTCTAAATTTGTGTATACCAAACTCAACTGTATTACTTTTTTTCATTCAGCTTAATGCATCCAAAACGAATAATGATGCTGAAAAACTTCCGTACAACGATGTTCCCACGAGCGAATTAGCAAAATTACGAGTTATAGGTGAAAAAGGTCATGCTGATGAATTACACCGTTTAGCATGGTCTAATCCACGATATCTAATTAGTAGTGGTGATTCACCAACAATTATCAAAGTTTGTTTTCTATTTTTTGATTATCTTTAAATCTACACGTTTCTATTAATGTTTAGGTATCGACTCGTTATAATATTTTACATATTGCTGCTTTATCTGGTCAAGCCATAATTATTCGTACTACGATAAAAATAATTAAAGATGTTAATTTTATCAAAAAATTGTATATAAATGATTCAAATGAACAAATACAAGCACGTCTCGAGTACATCGTTGATATGTATTTGAATACACCAGATAAAATGGTAATAAAAAAGAGTTAAACTCTTTAGAGTTTAATGAGTATACTTTTGTTTTCTCTTCACTACAGCAAAATGAAACACCGTTACATTTAGCTTCAAAATTTGGACATTATGAAGCTATTCGCGTTTTATTAGACGAATCACAATGTCTGAAAACGAGTTTGAATAAATCCGGACAAACACCCGAGAAAGTATTAACTAGTTCTGATGTTTCTTGACTATTAAAACTTAATCTATTTATTTTTTAGATTGTTTGTAGCAGATGTAAAGATACATCAAATATAAAGAAGATCGTTGACCTATTTCAAAGTATGTATAGTTTCAATTTAAAATTTGGATCATATTTTATTGCATATTCTAGCAATGTTTTATGTACCAATATATAGACGAAGAGTATCAATGGAAAAAGAATTATCCAAACCAATTGATGAAATAACGTTTAAATCAGTAATACTATTAAATCAACCATTATCTGTGAGTCATGATGTAGACGATAGACGTGATTTGGTTTTGACGGCCTATGCCGGTCCAACCACTTATGAAATGGTACGTTTAAATCCGATAAATTCTCTATAAAATTCAATAGATGATTCTTTGTTCTTTTAGGCTACAAAATTTTATCAATCTGTGTATTCATCAACACATGGTCAATCACGACGAAAACAAAATATAACATCATCGCCAAAAAGTCCTGTAAATATATTGCGTAGTGATGGTGAAAAAGGTTTAGAAAGAATAGCTAGGTGTGAAAAATGACAAGTCAACATTTTTCTTTTTTTTGATTACTGAATAAAAATGTTTATAATTTTAAAATTTAGATCTTGTGCAATTGAAGAATATGATATTGATTGGAATGAATATTGGTCATTCTTAGATATGTATACAAATTTATCAACTGAAGATGGTTTAACATTATTAAATTATTATTTATTACAACGTATGTTGTACACACAAATAATAGAAACAATTGAACAGTGTCAAAAATTATCTATTCGTTATACTAACAATGGTGGAGACAGTGATTCAATTTTAACATGTATTACAGAATTAAGTCAAACATTATATTCACTAATTGGCATACTAGAATTAAATGAACGTGATGATTGTAGAATGATTTTAAGTAAAAAATATAAAACACATTTGGAATTTGGTTTTAACGAAGAATTAGAACAAGTTCGATTAAATTTAATTAGTAAATTAAAATATCTATCAGATAATCGTTATCAATTATTATCAAAACCATTTTTAAGTCGTTTGACAATGATTTTTGGATTTCTTATTAGTGTATCAGGTTGCATTCTAATCGATAATATTAATGAAAAACAACAAAAACTAAACGGTACACAAAAACGTCTATCGATATCATATCTAAATATTTTAACAACTATATGTCCACAGGTTCATCGAACACTTCTCGATTATCAACGAACAAAACTACCAAAAATGGGACGACAACGAACGTGGTCTTGTCCAGATGAAATCATATATTCCGATAAAAAAATGCGACTAACAGATAGACATTGTCGATCATCTACCGATATTTCATCATATTTTTTCGATAATAATTCATCATCTTCATCATTAAGTATAAACATAAATAGTAATTTATCATTGCTCAAGTATCAAATATCAAAAGTGTCAATCGATGAACTACCACAGAGTAAAAGACATAGTTCAATAACAATATCCACTTTATCATCACAAATCGGTGTCACTTCAATGGATACAAATAAAGATGAGACGTGGCATTATTTTTTATTTGGGTAAGTCTGTTATTGAGCAGATGGAATAAATCATTTCAAGAAAGTATCGTCTATTTTAGTTCTGAACCAACTAAACTTGATGTTCATGTCATACGTGCAATAGATGTTGGTAAAAATAGTAGAAAATTAATAAAAAAATTTCCATTTGTTACTAAATGGTATCAGGTTGTACAGTTACGTCCAGCTGAAGAACAAAATTCGTATGTGTACAACAAATTTCTCTATGAATAAATATTTTATGTTTCTTTTTGTTTTTTAGATGGATAACACCTGTTCGGTCAACACGCAAGGTAAGAAATAATTTGATTTTAAGCAAATACTCGCACAATAAATTAGAACGTTACTCTTTTTTCTATCTATTGCACTTTCCTATGCTTAATGATCATTCGTATTTTGTTTTAATAAACTATTCATTTATAAATAGATTTTTAAATCTCTACGTTTTTTTAGAATACTTTCCATTTTTGTTTTTTTATTGAGTGTACAAAAATAAGCATGCACGATAAAAGATATTTTACACTTAAAACTGACCATCAAACTTATCACGCTGTTTTACGATTATTAGCAAATTGCTATTGGAAAGTATAATTATTTACTATTTTATGTCAGATAAGATGGTTACAAACGTATGTTCAGAGTTATGTCAGATCTATAACTATCTACGAACAATCTTAGAGACGACACAAAAACGTTGAAAAGAATAAGAAAATAATTTTCTTCTTTGCTCGTCACTTTGAAACACAAAGTTTAAATCAATACGTCATTTATGTTAGTATCAACTTTATTGTCAAATGAAAGAGAATACGAAATAGCATCAAATCTTTTAGGTTTATTTAGTGGAGAAAAGAAGTAAAAGAAAAAGATCTAAAAACAAACTATATAGTGTAGAAAGAACATAGAACATATGGTTGTTTTAAAGTTACATGATAAAGAACGAGAGAAAAAACCAAAAATAATGAATATGTGAAAAATACGTTAATAATAGTCTGATAAATTGATTAGAAAATCGTTTGATACACGTTATTGTATTTATTATAGACTACTGCACTTCTTCGATCCAATTATTTATTTGTTATTGTTAAGGTTTCTATTCTACTGCCAATGAATACCATTTTGTCTAAATAGTTCCGTTCTATATTTTCTAGAAATATGCCGTTTAATAAGATAAAGAAACCGTTTTCTTAAAAATTTATGATTCTCAATTTTAAATTATCATCGTTTTCTTTCTCTTAGGTTTTGTTTGGACTCAGTGAAGAAATATCAGCGCGTCATATTAAACGAAAAATAACATCGATATCAACGCCAACACTAGTATCACTCTCTCAAACAGCTGAACGATCTACGTCACCGATTCTTAATTCAGAAAAACGAAGAAGAATAAAGAATGAGTAAATCTCCATTATGTACCCCGTTGTGAAATGCTTTAATTCTGTCCATAAAACAGTAATTTTGTGATGAAGAAGATGCTAAGTACATTTAGTTTATTTTTGTTTAACAATTGTTATTTTTTTTTACATTTTATATAAAACAAACCATTCCGTTAGGTGAAATTATGATGTTTATTAAAAAATAGAATAAATTTATTAACAAATCTCTAAAAGACAGTTTCCTTCTAATAATTTTACTCGTCCGAACTTATATTTATGAAATTGCAAAAAATGGATCATTGGATTATTATACTTTTTGAAATAAAACTCAAAAAACCATTAAAGAATTTTTCTGTTTTAGTTATCAGCACTATGTGCGTTAACTTAGAAAGTCAAATATCGAATTAGGTCTTGTGTGAACAATAAAATGGAGTCTTAAAAAGGATTTTATGGAAGATCGTCGGATAATCCCGATGTTTTAAAATATTTAATAAACTCGGTCGATCTTGAATGCGCGAGATGGGATGTATGAAATAAATAAAAACATAGATTATTGATCATTTTAAGTTAAGATATATTTACATTAAATATATGTGACTTGACTAACTCGTCAAACCACCTTCAATATTTGTTTAGGAAATCGTGAAGATAGAATTTTTAAAACCAACTGAAAAACATACTTTCAACAATAAATCACAACATTTCCAAAATATTTCTCGCGTCTTTTTTACACTATGAGTAAATCTGAATCAATTTCTTTTTTAAAGAGACACAAGATTTATGCAATCGCATATGACACGAATGAAACTAACAGACAAATTTTTTGTTGTCTTTAATAAATATATCTCCGCATGCATTTATCATAGATATAAACCTTTAACTAAAAGATCAATAAGTTGGGTTAACCAGAAGTCGTTGATATTTTCGATGTACAACCTAACAGGTATTGTGATGAATCGTGTCAACCATACAGGTTTACATCAACAACTCTCAAACGGAACTTTGATTGGCTTATCAGTTTTATTTCGATATTCATAAAGCTTTTGTAAAATAAATGTGCTTATCATTCGCATAAATCGTTAAAAATTCAATAAAAGAACACTACAGAGTACCTTTTGTTTGTGATTTGACTGTTTCAAGCATTTTTTTTTGAATAAGCTTATCATAAGTTTGTACATAATTATTTTTTTCCAAATGAATTCAATATTGACTTATTCTTTACATTACTAAATTGCACAGTTAATTTGGCGACATCATCGATTGTCTTTATTAACGTATTGTATGATTCAACCGATAACGCAGACTTCGTCTGTTTCAGAAATCGATAATGATGTTCGCGTACAATATATTTGAGATGAATTTAACCAAAATCCATTGTGACTTTACACACGAATAAAAAGTAAATAAAATTCTAGTTTAAAGTCAATTAAGAAAAGTTTTTATTCTTTTATTGGTAGCACACGTACGAAAAAGAACGAAAAAGAAAGATAACTTACCGCTCTACTCTAGTCCAATTGAATACGACGTTATTACAACAGGTTATTATTTCTAAAGATGTTTCTTCAAACTATGAAATATGAACATGTTCATCACGTTACAATCTGTTTTTATTTTGTACTATACACGCAAAAAATACAAACATACTGAAAAAAAGCAAGCAAAAAACAAACATAAACAACAAAAACACACATATTCTCAATCACACGTTTGCACACTCAAACAAAATAAAGACAAAAAAAAGCTCATCAAAAATGAAATACGGATAGACGCGCAAAAAATAACTTACGATCACCATCAGAGTAAAAAAGATCTTAAATGTTGCTGTATTTTTAATATGTGAGAAGATTTCCTTAGACTCATTGTTGAAAACGCTGTACTTTGTTCAAAATAAAACATGTTAAAAGAAAAAGAATCACTCGAGTTTCATGCTATCAACAATAAGAAGAAAAAAAAAGATTATTTTAGTTTAAAGCTACTAACCAACATGTTCATAATGTACCATGTCTTTCTCGTTCCTATAATTCGTCTAGTCTACTATAGCAAAAATGAAAACAGACGACTCTCTCTCTATCGTCTTTCATTCAGAAAGAGAGAGAATTGACTCATCGTTCTTTTTTATCACCGAGTTTCTATAAAAATTAACAATTTTCCTCTCTAGTAAAAAGCCAACATTTTTTTTTTGTCATTTCATATTGTTTAAAAAACAAAAGAAAAAAAATGTTAAAAAGAAGAACAGTATAATGTAAAACTATCTTTTCTTGGTATATTTACGTAGAAAGGTCGATAATATACAATTTTTGTTTTGAGTTTGATATATTACTTGATGTTTGTTTAAAAAACAAGAGAAAAACACATTAAAAAAATGTTTAAGAAAGGAGGCTAAATGCAATTTCCAGTAAATAAAAACGTATTGCACGTTCACATTGTTCTTTTCTTCTCATATTCATAGTCTAGGATGTAGATGTTTCATTATCCTGATTTTGTTCTGTCTCAACAGTATTGTGAAGATTATTTTCGAGAGTAATATCGTTCATGGATGATGTCAATACGTGATTATTATCGATGGTAGAAGAATCATTATCATTTGTATTGTCATTATTTGTATGTGAGACATCATTGTTTAAGTTAGTTACATTTGTATTTGTTAATGACGAAGAAGATTCCGAACGATTTACTGACATTTGTACTAACGATTGTATACGACGTTGAGCAAACTAAAGATAATAGGAAAGGTGTTTTTCTTAAAATAATAAACACTTCCACATACTTGACTAGCTTGAAATGGACCGATAATTTTCACCGGAACTTCATTTGCTGCTGTTTGTTGTGAATCATCGGGTAATTTAATAACCGAACCAGTTTGCCGTTGTAATTCGCGAACCTGCAACATTATTTATGCTTTCTCTATAATTTTAAGCTTCATTCCTAATATTACTTACATTTTGTCCTCCTTTTCCAATCAAACGTCCAATAATTGAGGTTGGAACAAAAATTTCAGCACGTAGTTTCACATCGTCATTGCCAGCATAACCTTATATAAAAATCAAGTGTCAATTAACCAATCATTCCACGTGAAAATAAAGGTGGCATTTACCTTCTTGTCGAATTTTATCATAAATATAATATTGAGCCTAAACAAACAAAAAAAAAAACATCTCGAAATACTGATTAGAATAATTTAGACCAAAAATTATCTACCTTCCATTGTGCTTCTGGTGTTCCTGTGATAGTAACTTGACGATCAATTACTTTATTTTGATCTTCATCGGGACTTATAGGAGCAATCTAATAAAAAAGAGAGTATAGAAAGTTATATGAAAAAGTAAAAAACCATTTTAAATTTACTTTGACAGACGCATTTGAATATTTAATTATGCTTTTAATAAATAGACCTTTTGTTCCGATAATTGCTCCAACAACTGTATTCGGCACGTACAAATTGACTGTTTCATTGATAACTGGATTTGACATTTGTGGATAGTTACTATTAGCCATATTACCATACGTTCCATTATTACCACTCAAATTCATTGAAGGAAACATATAAAGACCACCAGGAGGTTGATACAATGGAGAAGGCTGCAAGAACACACAGTACGGAAATCATTTGTAACTACAGGAAGAAATATCTACTTACATAATAAGGATTTAAAAAATTTGATTGTTGATTTAATTTTGATACCATCGAATTTGTAAAATTTGTTGATAACATTTGTTGTTGATGTGCTACCGTTGGAGGTAGTGGTAGTTGAGCAGCTTGAAGAACAATATTTGAAGGATGATGAGGTGATCCCATCATCATTAATTGGGGCTGACCACGTGCACTATTTGACCATGGTTTTGTATAATCATTATCGTGTGCCATACATAATTTGCTGTAAATAATTTCTAATGCTTTTATTTCATTATCTAATTCACCTTTTATGGTAATAATCCGTTCACAATTATAAGGCGTTACGTCGCTAACACTAAAAATATACTATGTTCTAAATTTTCTCAAGATCAAGGAACAAAATCCATAGCCAAACTGTTCCGGTCACGGATCTAAAACTATTCGTGGGTATGTGTAGATCAACAAGGTGTGAACTAAGTGCGGTAGTTATAGAAACACAAATTTCTGGGAGAATTCCACTGACAAAAAATGATATTTTTACTCAAAAGGTACCCTAAATCCACGTCTACCAGAACGTGTAATGCTAATTACTTAAATTTTTTTCTATTTTAATTTTCATACACGTAACACGATTTAATATTCACATGACTACAACTCACCTTGATACTGTGACGATACAATCAGTATCTTTTTTAATATTGTTAATAATATTTCCTCCTTTTCCAATTATTCTACCAATATAATTATTATGAGCTATTATTTTTAAAACAATCTCACTGGAACGAAATAAGAATATGATTACTAGGGTTATTTGAAAAGATAACAAAGCTTTTGCGTACGTTGATCTATTTTTAATTTGTGCATCATCATACATGATTTTCAATATTTCATAACAGGCTTGAACGCAATGGTCTTGTTGGCCTCGAATGATAATAACACGTTCTTGATTAGGCGTTGAATTTGAATTTGATTCTGTTTTATTAACATCAACTCTTAAACAAACAATAAAATTAGATTTTGATTGATACTTCTGAGAGAGCATAAATTCGCATACTTTGCATGAGTCTGCTGTTTAATTTGTTTAATCTGAGCACCACCTTTTCCAATGATGGCACCCACACATTCACTTGGTACTAGAATTCTAAATAGAAAAAATAGAAATAGAAATATAACTCGAAATGATTTCAAACTAAGGTAGTTCTAATAACGTACCGTAGTGGATAATCATTTGGTGGCCTTGACATTGCCATGTTTCCACAAATTTAATATTAAAAGAAGATCACACACGTGTACTTCGTTTCCAGAATTAGCCAATATACAAAAATTATAGAAATGTGCGTAAGAAAAATGAGAAAGAGTAAGAAGAGAAAAACGAAAAAGAAGGTAATAAATGTAGCAAAATAAGAATAACCTATAAAATAACAATAGACAATTAAAACGTTCGTAGAAAGAATACAAACAAAGACGTTCGACAATTTGATGACTTCAGCGTGCTGAAGAATCTCTTGTTCATGACAATTTCAGACTATATAAATTGCAGTAGACGTTTTTGAAGAACGCTTAGTCTTATCTCTCGAGAAAGCAAATCATCAGAGAAGTTCTGCATGAATCTATCCGCAACATCTGGTCCATATCACCGACGGGAAAATAAAGATGCAGAGTCGGGGAAAAGCGTATTTTTCTATTCAGTACACTCGATAACCTTGAATATTTTCTGGTTTGGGCGAGGGTTACTACTAAAAGTTTAAGAAAAATTTTGAAACTAATATTATTTTCCCATCGAAGTCTTTTTTCGTCATTTTGTACGAAAGTTTTTTCTAAACTTTTGACAATACCCCTCGCCAAAACTGGAAAATCTACTCGGTTATCGAGGGTGTTAAATACGAAAAAAACACTTTTCCTCAACGCTGCATGAATTTTATTTTTTCCTTCATGTTGATGTGTGCTACACATAGATAGAAACCTGATACAAATGAAGGTGAACAATTAAAAGAAAAGCATTTCTAATTAACAAACCAAACGAGAAAAGACAGTTGGCCTTGTCCAGACTAGAAAAATTAACTTTGTATTAAGGAAGCTGATTGGCCTGAAAGTTAACTCATGTTTTCAACATCATCTAACTTTAACTCTCCAATCATGGCTCTTGAAAGAGAACAAATAAAAAAGAAGATTTGAACCACTGTAAAGTAGCTCTAAAGTACTCAGCTTTAGACAGATCAAAAGCTACATCTCCATTTCCGTTTAATTTAAGGCCGCACTTTGATTCAAATATATGTATAATCGCACGTCACAGCTAAACCTTTACTGTTGTCATAAGATCCGATGACAGAAGCGTAAATAATGAAAGATGTTGTCCTTGTTCTGTTTTGGGGTTTGTTCAGACAATAACCAGTAAAGCTGATAAAAGCTCGTTCTAATCTTGGTCTAAATTTAAGTTGATTTAAGACAGTTTCTAAAGTTTGGAGAAAGCAGCCTAGAAAAGACGAATAGAGAAAAAGGTGTTTCTCTGCTTCTGTCCTCTTTTAGCCTTGTTTAACATGTCTACTAAAACTTTTAAGAAAGGAAATACAGTCTACAAGTTTAGGGATTCAAGCAAAAAATAATGGTGGTGGTGCTCTGACACTGCAGCAACAACCGATAAATGGTAACTTCAAATGCACAAGCAAGTTCGCATGAAGACGCTCTTTTTTCCTTTATTATTTAAATATAATTTATGCATCTACGCGACCGGTGAAAGTTTTAAATCTTTCGAAGTGTTACTTTGTGATTCCTTTCGCTTTGTATTTAGCACCAGGGCTCAGATTGACACGTATCGTTCAGCCGTCAAATATTGTTACTTCTCCGTTTTGGATTCTCTCTATTAACCGTAAAAACGTAGTGTCGTAGAATGAACTTTTGGCCAGCTAAAAGATTGATTCCGTGTTGTTAATAAAAAAACGAATATGACATTCATAATACTGACAATATTATAAAAACTGTCTGTGTGTTGGATAATTTTTGTGTAAGCATAAACGACAACGTAGAGAATGAATGGAATGCTGCGGAGCCAGTTTATACTAAACGTTTATGTAATACAACGCCCTAGAGAACGTACTTGAGGCAAATACTTGATTACTTGCCAAGTACTTGGAAAAATCGACAAGTGTTTTTAAAATTTCTCACTTCCCATGTACTTGCAAAAGTACTTCTCAATGGTAAAAATACTTGCTTTTATTGCTAAGGAGTACTTTGTGAAGGTCCTTAACAAGTAAGAGCTTTCTTATCATCCTAAACCGAAAAAAGCGTATTTATAAATCAAAAGGGCTTTTCTGCTTGACGAAAAAACTAAAAAGTTCTTTTTTGGAAAGAGTCCAAGATTTTTCAAGCGTTGGTAAAAACCAGAAGAGTTTTTTCCTAAACGCCTTTAGCTCAGGGAAACATCGTTTTTGATTTTTCAAGGCTTTTCCAGTTTGAGCAAAAAATCAAAAGGATTTTTTAAAAAGAGTTTATTGAACACTTTATATTTCGAAATCTAACAAACAATTTAGCTTAACGCGGTGAACTCTTATGTAGTGATTTCTATCTAAAGAAAGAATGAAAAAGAAAAACTTTTAATACGAGATCTCTCAAACTAAAGTATTTCTTAAGGTAATTGACACACTGATTTCGCCATGTTTTACCCGGTTTTCTCTTCGGGAACATAATGCTTTAATTCTGCTTTAGACAGGTTTGGACCGTTCGCCGCTATTTATTTACATGAATACTACCCTAGTGAACGACTTTACTCATAATTCGTCCACGAGTACTCATATTAGTACTACTAACAATTTTTGAGTATTGTTACTCAGGGAGTACTCAGAAAACATTCATTCACCGTTTTGTTTTGCTAGACTGAAACTGTATGAACGTAGCATTTAGTGAAGAAACATAGAATATTTATATTATTATTTCCTCACTGGTCTCTCTGTATATAGTCAAGGATGGGCTCGTCTGTGACTAGACTTGCAGTCCTACTCTGGCTGCCTGAGATCACTCCTCTATATGAAAATATCAAATGAACAATACTCATGAGTATTTTGCCAAAAGTTATATGAGTACTCAACAATACCCAAGCGTGAGTACTCAAAGCCGTACCCACAATACTCGTTACTCAGTCGTGAGTACTCGTGTGAGTACTCAATGAGTAAAAAAAATGTGTGAGTACTCATGAGTACTCGGGACATTTTTCAGCAGAGTACGACTTTGAGTATTCACACTTGAGTACATTCACTAGGGTATACCTATGCTTAGGAAAACGTGTTTTCTTTCTGGACTGCAGACATAGAATAATATAAGTTCACAAAGTGAATATTGAGCGACAATAGAGAAACACTCGAATAATATTACCTTGAAAACAATTCAAGCACTTGCAATTTTATTTGACAAGCGCTTGTCAAGTAAAAAGTCAAGTACTTGCACGCTGGACAAGTACTTACAAGTAAATTTACTTCTGGAAAAAAGACAAGTACTGGCTTCGTTACGCAGCGGAGTACTTGGGCACAAGTACGTTCTCTAGGGCGATAATAATGCAATAAGAATAAGACAGGCTCTTTCAGCTCACTTTCAGCGGAATCTCTGTCTTGATTTAGATAATATTTAGAGAAATTGTTTTCTCTTTGCTTGAATCATTGTATTAATTGTTTAAAAAATTGCTATTCAGCTATAGAAATTGCAAAGTGCGGCGTAGCGTATAATCTTAGCACTAGTGTATGGAATGCTGTTGCAAGTATTTGTACTGAAGCAATTATTCTGTTGATGCTGACTACCACAAGAGCGTATTTCGAGAGAAGAACCACCAGGTTACGCGTGGGACTGAGGACGGATATAAAATGCTTTTTCGCTTCTGAAAGCCCATAGTCAAACCATAGATGTCCCTTTTTGCCGTAGACCGAAGGATTTGGACCAAAAAACACGTTAAACGTGTTTTGGTGTGACTAAAGTAGCCATACATAGCGACTGCTGTTAGAAATGGTCTTAGTTTCGAACTTGGGATTCCTATTAACACCTTCTGCACAAGGGCTTCAATTTAAATACATTATGTACATTGTAGAGGCTGTGATTAAAATAAGATTGGACAGTTATTTTTATGGTCTGAACACCGTTTAAGTTAAGTTAACTCAGAAAAAAATCGTATAGTCTGGATAGTCATAAGGCCAAAGAAAGTCACCTTAGGCTTTTACTAAAACAGGAAGACTGAAATAGAACGTAGGCAAGAAATAGGATTGGTTAAAAATTTATTTTCGATCAATCATTGTTATGTCTTCCATCTTTCCAGTTTTTAGTGAACAGCTAACTTCACCGGTAAAGTAGTTTCGGTTTTCTCTCTCCAGTGCAGCCATACTCAAAAAATGATGTAATAACAGTAATAATAACCGCCAATTAGAAATTCTCAGGCGACACCTTTTGTAGTCAGAAAAAGACAGAACACGATTATTCACTTCTCGTTAAAATAATAGATCCTTCATATAAGTAGCCCTTCGAAATGGGGATCCATTGCTTTATCTCAGATTTCTTCCGTTCTCAAATTCTGCGCTTTTTATTTTCCAGGGGGAGCGTAATTGTGAATAGAAAAGGTATTACGATTATCTCTCTTTTGTAAACAACATCGAATCTAGTATGATAGTTCTTTCTCTCTCTCTGTTCTTGGCTCTGTCAACAAACTTACTTGTCGTATTATTTCTCGTAATTTTGATTATCACTTTTCTAGCTCTTTACTTGTGTCGCAACTTTCTCCATATCTGTCACTTCGCCGTAAATATTTTCGACTTGTACAGTTTTTCAAAATTTATCATCGTCTTAGTCCGCTTTCTATCTTTTACTCGACTCATTGTCCTCATTACGCTTCTTTGCGCTGTCATCATTCTAAATATGTCCGCATTCCAACCACTGTCAATGGTTTTTCTTCTTTTTTCTATTCAACTATTCCTGACTGGAATAATTTTTCTGAGTCAATTATTTTTGTTGTTTTTCTTCTTTAACGTCTTTCAAAAAGGCACTAACTCAGTATCTCTTATAGTAAAATTCAGCCATGTTTCTAATTATAATAAACTAGGGTTAGTTGTTCTCTTTAACGTTATTTTATTTGTTTTTATTTTCATCGTTACTTTATCTCTTACTTTATACTCTAGTTTCGCTTATTCCTGTTATTTTTTCATTTTTGTAGTTTGGCTCGAGTCATTGATATTAAAGGTCAGGGACCTTTGATGACTCTCACTTTTCGTGAATAAACTAGTCTTAGTCTTAGAGTAAACACACTTGGAAATATTGTTCCAACAATCGTTTGAAGAACTGGAATTTTTTGTTGTTTTTAACCAATCTGATGTACTGAACTTTTCTGAAGATTTGCTGAAAATTTCTTCTTATAACAGAATAACAACACATTGATTTCAATCACATTTTAATAGTTTTCCTCTATAGTACTTTTAAATGTAGACGTGATCTCTGTTTCTAGATTAATTTTTCATTAGTGATTTCTTCTATGGATAAAGCAAATCAAGATTGCTATTTTTATGTTACATCGACTTGTACCAGAGTATGTCCAACATCACTTTTATTCATATTGATCCATAAGATAGAAATATTTTTGTTTTTTTTCAAGGGTATAGCCTGTCCATTTCGGCATTCTCCAAAAATACCAGGTTCTAGTGTCATATGTCCTCCATGGTCACGGGGCACCTTTTCGGATTCTAATTGTTCAATGAAACATATAAATGTTCAAGTAAGTTATTGTTTATTTCTTGTCCTGATTCTGAGAGTGAAGTGTGCATATGTCTTATGGGATTTTTACACTTGTACGTAGAATGAACTTCTTCGGAGTTAATGAGTTTCCAGAAAATTTTACGTAAACACTAAGCTTATTGATGGTTTATATTTAGCGATCAGCAAATTCTTCAACGTGTTATTTTGAAAGTTCAACTACCGGTTGTCTAAAAGTAAATTGTCCTTATATACATGTAAAACCAAGACAGTTCGTTGGTATGGCAATTACGAGTGATGTTGGTGGAAGCAATTTGAGACGTATGTTATGCCAGTTAAAAGTAAATTCATGAGTATGGAGATATAATATTTTATTTTTTGTAGCCGTAACAACGAATTTAGTTAATAAAGATATTGGAAAAACACAGAACAGCCCCATATTAACCGCAAATACGACTCCAGTCTTGCCAAACACTTTTCCGGACACAGCGTTAACAAATTTACATATTACGATGCAAACAGCTAAGACCGATTCTACTACTGTGGACAGAAATACTCCTATTACAGGTATACTGTTCGTTTTATGACGTGACAAATTCTTGATGGATGAATTACTTTTTATCCTTAAGATTCTTTGCCGGAAACACCAATTCAAAATATCATTCTAACAATACCACCAACGATTAAAATAGTAGAAAGTGCTTCTAATTTAAATATCCCGACAAGTGATACCAATACGCAAATGGAGACGAATAACCAATGCGAAAAAAGCTCTGTTTTATATTCATTGTCGTCATCTTCAAATGTACCGTTATTTACAAAATCATCGTCATCTGTACAGTTACCTCGACGTGTTATGTTACCACTGAAAAATACGGCAGTCATGGACCAGTCGTTAGAATCTATTAACTCTGACAATGGAATATTAAAATCAACAACAAATAATCGTTTTGTTATTACTGAATCAAAGCCAGAGAATGATGAGCAATCAATAGTGAGAACAACTTCAATCGATATATCGAAAACCAAACCAGAGAGAAATGTTGTGATATCTGATACTCGATCCACAACAGCTCCACAGTCTACTATACCACGAAAGTTTGTTACAGTGAAAAAATCAACGCGTATGATAGTTACAACTGATTCATCAATTAAATCACGTATAACATCAAATAAATTTCCAATGAGTCAACAAAATAATTGTGAACAGTTGAAAATAACGGATGACAACGTAAAACATAGTAGAAAACAATCCATCACGCCTCCTCCATTGAACGATTGTGATGAAGATAGTGACATGGACCTCGATGATTTAATTGAGCAAGAAAATAAAAAGCAAGGCGTCAGCATGAAGCCTAGTAAGTTTCCTGCTTGAAAGCAAAATGTATAGTCTAACTAATAAGTTACTTAAAGTAATTGTTTATTTAAATTAAATACTTATTTCCCTTTAGTTCTTACTAACCGATCATTAGTTGATATATCATTTCCATGTTCTGTGCAATCAAATCGTTTTTCGTTTATGACAATGAAGCAGCCACAACAACAGCAGCCAAGTACAACAAATGAACAAAAAAATTCTAAGCCAATACGTTTGAAACGTGAACATTTAACGACATCATCAAATAGTCATTCAATACCTTCACCGTCGTCTTCTTCCACTACTACTCAGTCATCTACTAATACGACAAATCTGACGGCATCCTTGCCAGTTCACGTGCATTTGGAAAAGAAAGTAAGACTAAATTTTCTAATGATTTTGTTTTTAATTTTGGCGTAGCGAGAGGTATATAAGTAAATGATTAAACTTTCTAAGTGTCACTAAGTGATAAGCTTTTTTTTTAGTGGTGAGTGGATGGCTCTTCTTTTATGATACTTTTTTTAGTTGTCAGATATTACAAGATGCTAAGTCCGTTGTTAAGCGAGTTAGAAGGAAAGTTATGTTTGCAGATAATGTTGTCGTTATTCTAGAATTTTTTATTAACCTTTGTTTTCAAAAGTATTTTTATTTTGTTCTAGGAATCAAAGGGTATGTCATTTATTATTATCAACAGCATCATCAGCATCAGTATTATCCATCAATATTCTTATCCGTTTTTTTTCTGCTATTCAATGGCAGTAGGAATCCAGCGTTGACTATATTCTTTATCTTTTTTTAACGCGTATCAATTTTTTTTTGCATGAGGAAGAGATTCTGAGTATAAGATGTTAGTTAAAAGAAATTTGAAATTTGTTCAGATCCATCATTCATATGGAAGTCTGTAGTTGTTACCGTCTGTATGCATTCTGCATTTGGATAATTTAGATTTACGATGATTTTTTCTTGTGGATTTTATTTTTACACTGGCATCGAAAAAAAAAGTTGAAAAAGAGAAAATATTGCCGAATTTTTATTTTGTTTTATTGTTGACGTTTTCTTTTTTTGATGATGGTGTAATTATGTTTGTTGTTATTATTGTATTTTGATCAAACATATCTGTCTGTCTAGGTATTTTAGGTTCAAGTCAACAACAAAAAACGAATTCAAGTCCACAAAAGTAAGTGGAACAAGTATTCTCGAAGATTTTTGCTCACGTTGTGACTCGATCTGTGTATCACGATAGTAGTTTTTTGTTATATTTCACTTTCTTGTTTCGAGAACTTCGCTGATGATGTAATTATACTCTTTATGGACGGTTCTTGAGTAAATATGAATAGTTGTTTTTTCTTTTCAGGCAATCTATCTTGCACGATCATCAAAAAGGAAGAGAAAATAACGATCAACCATCGATTATATGTTCATCAATGATAAATCCAAGTGCTGGTAGCACTCTTATTAATAAAAATAACTCGCTTGATGAAGCAAACAGTGATATAATACAACAAACTGATATGTGTTCTTCTCTCTCTTTATCACCATCAGCTACTTCAAAAACCTCAAATAATTGTAAACGTTCATCACCAGTTACACAATCACCAACGGCTCCAAAACGATTTGCTAATGAAGTTGCCTCACCGCCAATTATTGGTGATCTTTGCGTCACCGAGCTATCGTCAACCTCGAATAACAATATGAATCGCCGGTATTATTACCAACAACAACAACGAAATAGTCCTTCTAAGTCACCATCGCAGCTACGTACGATGAAATCAAAAACTAGGGATATCTTGTCAACAAATCGACCAATGTCTTCATTTGATTGGAACAAAGAAACTAATGATTTTATTAAAAGTTTACAAAAAACTTCACCGTCAATCACGACAACAAATCAACCAATAATAAACCATACAACAATGATCCGACCTTTAATGCAGCAATCTTCTTCTCTACAACATGCGCTACAAAATGGAAATATAAGAGCACAACCTTGTATAGAAGTTAAACAATATAACAATGCCAGTTCATTTAAACAAGCACCATTAGTTAACAAAATAAACGATGTCAAATCTAAGTCGATTACTTCACCTACAATTAATCAGGATATAAAAGCAATCGATCCACCGTTAGAACTACCACTTATTGGTAAAGATAAAGAGGAGAAACAGATCATTTCATTACTCTCCTCAGAGCAAATCGATTCAGTAGTAACAGTCAATAATAATAATAATAATAATAACGGTGTCGATTTGTCTAATCAATCTGCCACTACCACGCAAAAACAATCAATACCAGCTCAGATTATTGCCAGTGATGTAACAGCAGTCACAGCACCCATGACAACTGATGATTTTGATGGTTTATTATTAAATGATATTGACTTTTTAGACGAAGCATTTCAAGCAGCTGATGAATTTCTTCTATTGTATAAATCAAGTATTTGAATACAAAAAATGCATTTAAATCTCTCTTTGTTTCACATGCGCTCTCCGTTTCTTCGATATATATTTGTATGTGCTTTATTTCTATTTAATATATTAAAATATGTTAAATTTTATAAAACTCATGCTCATTTAGCGTTTTTGTTCAGAGTTTTTAAATAAAAATTTTGTTTGATGTTCATTGCTATTTTCTTAATTAAGGTTTTATTTTTGAAATGGCAAATAAAACAGAAACAGCAGGTGGAAAATTGTGAAAACTATTTTTACAATACAATATAGATCTGTATGAACTGTATGAGGTTTTTTCACATTTCTCTCTCTGTCTTTATTCAAGAAGACGCTGTTTTTTCATTATTGTATGTACATTAATTAATTTATGTAGCTTGTAGTTGATTTTTCTTTGCTCTTTTGTTGCTGTCGCGCATTTATTTTACTTAAAAGATGTATATAAATAAACTGTATAATGTATGTGTCCAAAGCTACTATCATTTATGGAATAAAACATCCTAAATCAAACAAGCTATTCTTACTAGTTGCATTCTTCCTCACGCCAATTAGAATAAAGATAATTTGTGTTTTGAGTACAAGAGAGAAGAGTGCTATTCAACCATCATAAGAGAGAGAGAGAGTCATTGTAGTAATTTTGGTATTAGATCAATGCTCGTTTCTAGACAAACTGGCAATACCACATTAACTAATATTTAGAGACATTTAACAAACTAAATTTTGTTTATGTTTTAAGCTCATTCCTTGCTACAGATATTCATCCGCTCGTGTACAAAATTTCATTGATTTAAGGGTATCCTTCCGCTATTTTCTGACAAAACTTTTGATTTTGATTTCAACATTGCCTGATGTAGAAGAACATCTGAGCTTCAAAATAAGACCACTTCCAGTGTTCCACGACCTTTTTTTTGAAAAAGTTATGGAATTTTTAAGTTTTTACTAAGAGCGTGAAAAACGTCAATTTTTTAGTTTCGTCAAACTCTTGTTTTCAGTACCTTCAAAATTTTTTCTTGTACTTAGTCTGATAGAGCAAAATGTTCTCTTCACAATGAGATCGCTTTCGAAATTTTTCGAAATACCATGACCTGTCTAATGTTGCTTGTCATGTGGAAAACACTGGTGATCCAGTCACATTACGATTCGTCAAAAAAAAATGCTTCGATTGAGCCCAAATTTTTGAAAATTTAGACCATATTTCAGATTCTAAATTTTTTTCGATAAAGATAAGAGATGGGGTCTGAAACGTCTGTGGTAAAAATTTGGACTTGATTGATCCTACGCTTCCAACATTGCCAACAGAATAGAAAAATGAGGGGATACTCTTAAAAGAACAATATTTGAAACATCTTTCTTTGTACGTTTTCGATATTTTGTAATAAAACTCGATAGCAGTGTGAGAAATTAGTTAAAGTTCTTTCTTGAATTCTAGATGGTGTGACAAATATTTACTAGTTTTGAACAAACAGTAGAAAAATCTTTGTTATAAACAAAGATGAATGTCCACTTTACATCTACAAATGTAAGTTACAGTTATACTGATGTAATAATAAAAGCAAAGAACTTTGGTATTCGTCTTTTTAGCTTTGTTCTCAATGTACATCATTTTTTTTTCAATCGTTACGTTATTTACCTCAAAGTGTTCAACAAATGTGTGAATATGCATTTAAAAAAATCCCAAATAGAAAAATTGGCAAAGCCAGGCATAAACAAGCATTCAAAGTAACTATCGATCATATAAAAATGCGTATTAAAAAACAATATTTCTTCGCTTTAGTATGATCATAAATTCAAATCTTATTTATCAACTTTACAATTAAATTCTAATTTATTCGTTCTCAATGATCTTACAATTGATAGGCTACTGAGTCAAATATCTAAAGAAGGTAATTCTAACGAATATGAAACTGTTGTAGTTCTCTCACAAGTTAATTTATTTTTATTAGAAATTCAATCGACTTTATCGTTGTTAACAAGTGTATCTTCAGAAAAAAACTTATTGTCCTGTTTATCATGTCGAGCTGGACTTTCTCAACATCTAACACATAATGATTTATTGAAAATTGAAAAATTAGGTATGCTACTCAAAATAACATTGACGTATGTGTTAAAAGAAATTTGTTTATTCAGTGTATAATCAAGTTCGCGGATTTAAAACGCATCATTCAACATTCAGTGGAGTAGGTGGTGAAAATCGATTAGCTGGTTTTAAGTCGTTTAAATCACACACATCTAGTACAATTCAACAAGGTCAACCATCGTCCTCACTCTTTCAACGAGTACTTATTCAACTTGATAAAGATCTTTTTTAATTAATTATCGTTTTTTTATATAGATTATTCGATTGGTGCGCCCGTCGTCTCAAAGTGAAAATAATCGTTTAAACAATTTACTGCAAGTGACAAAAAATGCGGATGAACAACAAAAAATCAAAGTGGCATTTGCTGAAGGTATTTTTCAAAATCCCCATTACTCTTTTATTAAATCTTTGTATTTTATTTCAGGTTATGCTGCAGTAGTCGTTGACTCAAAACCAAAAGATCGTCTATCTTTGTTTAAAGTTGTACGTGTTATATTATTCATGGGAATTATGATTATGATTCTTTTAAATATTATTTCAGCATTAGGTGGTGGTATGTATTTTTGCTTACAATTTGTTCAACATACTATTTTAGCAATTATATATAAATTTTTTATTATAGGTGGTGTTCGTGGTGGATTTGCAAACGCTTTTTCAAATAAATTTGAAATAAATCCAGAAGATGTGAATGTGAATTTTACAGATGTTCGCGGCGTGCGTAGTTTTTTGACGTTATTATGATGGCACTTTATTGTCGTAATTAATTGATGACTATAGTCATCTAAAATTACCAAGTAAAAAAATGCATTGTTTTCAGGCGGAAGAAGCAAAAGATGAATTACGCGACATTGTAGCATATTTGAGAGATGGTGAAAAATTTACTAGACTTGGTGCACGCTTACCAAAAGGTATTTTTTCAAAAAATAAAAAAATATTTAAAATAGAATAAAATTAATTTTATTTTAGGTGTACTACTTGTCGGTCCACCAGGAATTGGAAAAACATTACTTGCACGCGCAGTTGCTGGTGAAGCAGGTGTAGCATTTTTTCACACATCGGGTTCAGAGTTTGATGAAATGTTTGTTGGAACTGGTGCTCGACGTGTTCGTCAATTATTTAGTACGTAAAAGAAACAATAATTTTACTCGATATTAAAAAGAGGAATAAATTATTTTTAGCTGCTGCTAAAGCACGTACTCCCTGTGTTATTTTTATCGATGAGATTGATAGTGTAGGTGCAAAAAGAACAAGTTCACAGCTACATCCCTATGCTAATCAGACGATCAATCAATTATTGGCAGAAATGGATGGGTAAATATTAGAGTGACGTTTATATTTTCTTTTTTTTATCCATTTATTAAAATTTTTTTTAAGATTTGATAAAAATGAAGGAATCATCTTATTAGCTGCAACAAATCGTCGTGACTATTTAGATTCAGCCATTTTAAGACCAGGTCGTTTTGATGTGGAAATTCATATTTCACCACCAGATTTACGCGGCAGAAAAGATATATTTGAATTGTATTTGTCAAAAGTGAAACATGATCATACTGTTGACACCGAATACCTTGCCAAAGGCTCAACTGGATTTACTGGCGCTGATATAGAAAATATGACGAATCAAGTATGTATATAATTCGAATATTTGAAGTTCTTTTTACTTTATCTCATAGAAAGTAAGATTTATTTATTCAATCCAAACGTTTTCGTGTTTTATATATCTTCAATCGATAAATAATTTTAAAAAAAAGTAGTGATTCTTATTAAAATGATGTTGAGAATTTTAGTTTTATACTTCTTATCGCTCAATTTTGTGTTTTCTTAATAAATTATCCACTGAAGGTGTATAAAACATGGAAACGTTTGAATTGAATAAATAAATCTTATTATCTACGAGATAAAGTCAAAATGACTTCAAATATCCAACAAACTTGTAAAAACGGCTTACAAACATATAATTCGAAAAAGTTAATTATTATTCTCGTTTATGTTTAGGCTGCTTTGTACGCCGCTCAACTTGAAGAACCAGCAGTTAACATGAAACATATGGAATGGGCGCGTGATAAAGTTTTAATGGGTACTGCTAGAAAATCAAAATTACCAGATATGGAAACGAATAAAATCACAGCGTACCATGAAGCGGGTCATACACTTGTTCGTTATTTTACAGATGAAGCAGATCCACTTCATAAAGTAACAATAATTCCACGTGGACAGGCTCTTGGCTTCACAGCTCATATTCCTGATAAAGATATCTATAATCGAACACGTTCACAATTATTAGCAGAAATGGAGTATGTTTTGTTATTATGTATATGTATCATATATTTTAGTTAAATAATTTTGTTTTAAGTGTGATGTTTGGTGGACGTGCTGCTGAAGAATTAGCGTTTGGAATAGAAAAAATTACCACGGGTGCATCAAGTGATTTTAATCAAGCAACAAAATTAGCTACAAATATGGTAAAACAATTCGGAATGTCGGAAAAAGTATGTCACAAAATGAAATATTATTTGAATCACTTTCAAAACTGAACATCTTCCTATTACACAATAATATTGAGACAATTACCATCTGTTCTCGATATAATATCATATATACCATACTTTTATCTAGGTTGGTCATCGAAGTTTCAAAGAGGAAGAACAAGATGCTGGTATGGGCTTTATAAAAGTGAATGATATTAGTCCAGCAATGCAAGAAACAATTGACTATGAAATTCGACGACTAATGCAGGTAAGAGATGAATGAGTATGGAATATTACTTTATAAATTTGTATATCTAGCATTACTCTGCTTCTATTTTAGGAATCGTATGAACGTGCCAAAAGTTTACTTAAACAACATTCAAATGAGTTGAAAACATTAGCCGAAGCATTATTACATTATGAAACATTGGATGCTGAAGAAGTTAAAGCTGTTCTAGAGGGACGAAAAGTCTCATCATGAAATAAGAAGTGTCAGTGACATGATGAAACATTTTTCTATTCATTTTTATTATCTCTACCTCTACCTTTGTGTATCGATTTATTATTGTTTTTTTTATTTAGGCAATATAAACAATTATTCACACAAATTTTTTTGTCTGTAGCTGTTTCACGTTTTGTGTTTATTCACAATCGTGGACATGATATTGTTTTAATTTGAAAAAAAAGGATAAATAATTTTTTTTAGAGACGTATGATATATTGCCATGATTAGGAAAAACAAACATCTTTCTTCGATATTGTACAGTATAATTAATACCATCGAAACTTCATATCAAATTAACAGAGTCAAAGTTTGAAGATGACATATTTTTCATGCTAATGATCCCAGTCATAAACGTTTTCCTCTTTTCTTTGATGCAAACCATTCTCAACTATCGATCACCACTCATTTATAGATCGATTACATTGAAAATGAAATTGTAGAATATAATTGGCGCTTGTCACATGTTTAACAACTGTGTATTACCATAAATAACCTTCAGTGAGAAAAAAGATGTACGATTATCTGCATAGTTCCTAGACAAAATTATTAGTACAATAGACAAAAACATGCTGCTGCCTACAGTTTTCATATACAATTTTTTTTTCTTTTTCTTTTGCAATTTACAATTATATGTCATCTGGAAGAATAAGGTTTTGGGACACATGGGCCGTGAAGAAAAATCTTTCATTCTTAAACTAAAAAGACTACATTATCATTTTTCAAGAATGTTAGATTAATCATATAGATCGTTTTTTTTTCTCTCTCTCTATTTATCCTAATCAAATTTCTCTAATTGTACTGAGGATAAATATGTGTGTTTATACGTTTTTTTTTCTTTTTTGTTCTTATTCTAGTTGCTTCTTTTCTTTTCTCCTCTTTCTAGTTAGAATGCTTACAGAAATTGAATCTCTAGACGATCTGTCAACATTGCCCACTTTTCTGCTTCTCGATTTGGTTCCACATCTCTGTTTTTCTTCATTCTATTTTCGTTCTCTCCCTCTCTCGGTCTCTCTGTACTACGCATAATCATCCGGAAAAAAAATGATGGGGTTGTTTTTCTCAATTGCTCTCGTTTCATAACACAACATATTTATATTTAATACCGTGTTCTATACGTATTTCGTTTTTGATTGTGTGGAAGTTGTTTTCTTGTTTTTTCATATTCTTCAGGTACATAATCGGTAAGACATTTTTTATTATTTTTTCATCTCAAATTAATTTTCTTGCTAACTATAGTCGAAAGCTCATTTTCATCATTAATAGTCCATAGCTAGGTAGAGTAGGCATAAGTCTTTTGGACATGTACACCAGGTAAAAAAAGGAAGAGGTAATGTATTTTTGTTCTTAGGTAAAAAAAATTGTTTTTTCTTCTATAGTTCTCCCTTGTTGTTGTTCTTTATTTTTTTATCTTATTTCAAATGACAATTCACGTCCTTCAGACTGTGATACGACCAGTAATAGAGGTGAATAAGAGAACAACTATAGGTAAAAGAGGAAAGAAACGTAGAAAACAGAGGAGTCAAAATAAAATTTTATTAGTCTATAGATCATCTATTTATACAACTTGTTATTGTCACAATCTCACATTTATAAAAGTGTTGCGTTAAATAAACTTAATACAACACCGATCTTAAATTATAATTGCCATCTACACCTTTTATGATTCGTGTTTTTTTTTTGACGTACAAAACTAGCTGACATATTTAAATCTAGAAACGAAGTTCATTTTTTTCAATATGTTAACTGTATGGCAATGTTTATTTGATCTTAGTATATTCAACAAGTCTGTTTTTAAACTGACTCATTATTTTAAAGATTTATTAAATAGTATAATTGTTTAATATTGAAGAAGATAATATCATTACATAAATAAAAGGTTTTAGGGGTCAAACAATTAAAAATCGATAGAATATTTACGTTCATAATTTTAAGTATGTTCCCCGAAGCTGTCATTTTTCAATCGTTTATTCTACAGTTTCTTATTGATTACAAAGAGCAGAAGAAATTTCTTTTGTTAAGAAGATTAGTGATTGTTTTCTTTCAATTTCCGCTTTGAATCATGCCAAATAATAGATTCAAAAGTACTTTTTCTTCTATAGAAGAAACATTTTATATTCAATGCGTAATTCGCTGTATTTTGTTTAGTTTATACATGTATTTCAAAAGAAAGAAAACGTATAAAGAATAAACGAAAAAAAAAAATTCAATTAAAATAGCATAATTTGTTTTGATGATGACGTATGGTTATGTTAGTCAGACAGTTAGAAATATATTTTTGAATTATGAGAATGTTCACATAAAGGTTATCTAAATAAGTTTTTTTAGACAAACATAGACACATATTATATTAATCTATAAAACATCCATTTTTTCTATATTGATCCTAACTGTTACATTTGACAGTCGTATCCATATTCATTAAGATCAAGAGATACAAACGTATATACAAGATAAAAATAAGAAGAAAAGAGTTCATCTAATGGACTATCAAATATGATATTGATTAGAACAAATAAACATACAAACTATGAATAAATTCATTTTTTGACTAACTAACTGGACATTTGAAATATTATAGCTGAGCAGAATAAATCCTTTTTTCATAAAAGAATGTGTTTTTGTTCCCATCAAATCAATCAGTGTGTAATACTGCCTGTGCACAGTATACCATGTTGATTATTGTTTTACGCAAAAAAAAATTAAAGTAACAAAAGGAGAAAATACATAAAAAATATTTATCATTATTTCATCGGCAAAAAAACAAACAAACAAACAAAAGAACCGGAATTCCTAATTAACTAAATTTGATCGTTTAAATAAAAGAAAACCGTTTGATTCTAGTCTAGTATGAATTATCGTTTATTCTACAAGACAATTTTTAGATCAGAGTTCTATTTTTCTTATAAAAATCATTATTCTATGGGTTAAATGAGCATAGAGAGATTAGAAAAACAGAAACAAAGCAAGAGACAAATTACATTTACATAGTTAGTAGAATAAATAAGTTGATAGAATAGAAAATAAACATATATATATTGATTTGGCATTTTAAAAATATAAAAAAATAACTCAAAAACTTAACGTTGGATTTGAAATAAATCTCTTTTTGAATGGGTTTTTTTCTTTTTCTTGAGTTTGTGGTACATGCAGTGAGTATATGCTAAATATTGAATAAAAAAAGAAAAAGAAGAAAGAAGTATGGTGACACATGGTTTTGTTTAGTTGTAAACGGTGCATAACATTGACTCATTTTAGTGACAAATATAAGAAGAGAAAAATATATAATAGCAGTTGTTTTCAAGAATATATGATTTCTTTTTTATAATAGTATTTTTTTATTATTTTGAGGTCTTTTCAAAAATATTTCAAAAATTCAAATTAAAAAAACAGAAAACAAAATAGAATAATAACTATCTTGCTCAACATGTGTCTCTGTTTGTTGTAGAGAAAGAGTGAGAAAGGTGAGCAAATAATTTATGGCATGTCAGAAATGTGTAGGTTTTTGTTTAAAAAAAAATTGGAATTCTTTTTTTGTTAAAAAAGAATAAGAAAAATAAATTGTCATTTGTTCGTTCTTCCATTTATGTCGTCATCTTTCTTCTTTTTTTTTTTTTCTTTTTCAAATGTGATGATAACATGCGTAATTTAGTAAGAATGCTGAAGGCGTTAGAAAAAAAAAAATGACTATACTCTGTGTTGAGATAGAGATAGAGAGTAAAAGAAACGATAATAATGCATTGTACACATACACATACATACACCATTTTTGATATAAAAATGGTAGAAAATGGAGTAAAAAATAGAAAATATAGATCAAAGAAAGAAGGGATGAAAAATACTTTTTTTTTTTTTTTTATTTAATAACTTTTCGTGTACGTGTATCAATTTGATATATATATATATATTTGTATAAAATGTGATGGTGAGAAGTGTTTTTTTTTTTCGGTATATGCGCACATTTTTTTTCTCTTAAATATACGTAAACGCAGAGTGACAAACAAGAAACAACAAGATGTTGGAATAATACTTGTGTATGTATAGAATAACTTGTTTTTTTTCGAAAGAAATGCATATATATACTATATATATATATATATACTCTTTAATGATGATTGATTTTAGATGTCAACTAGTGTCACTGACGATAAATCTTATACAACCATAATACCAATTCATCGAGTATCAACAACAGCAAACGATCCTTCAGGTAAGTTGTTTGATTAGATATTATTTACAGTAAATATAAAAAACTATTTTCACATTTTTATAGATCAACAGCAATACTTTTTAAATAATAATCAAAGTCCTAATTATCAACAGCAAACAATGTATACGGGAAGAAGTTCATCACCGTCAATGGCACAAACGAATATTCGACCAGGGGTATGTCTTTTTTATCGTTTACATTTGGATTAAGTTAACAATAAAGTATACAATTTTAAAGGTATACCATACCTTGCGCACTATTTCATTAACTTTGAGTTATTGGATTGTAATGGATATAAACCACAATAACAAGAAAGTCGAAAATAGAATAATACGTCTTTTAAAATCTGTTTCTAGAGTATTCTTAGTTTTCATTAAGGATGATATTTTCTGTCTAATTTTTTAGTGTGTGTCAATTCCTGTTGAAATAGTTCGAGGAAGTGAGTCGTCAACAAGTCGTCCGTCATCATCAACTCGTTTGGGTTCACCATATCGAACCACATTACAGAATGACAATTTTGTCAGTAATTCTCCTCCTTCTTTCCATACGGCTACAACAACAAATATAAATAACAATAACAACAATAATGGATCTCGTGGAATTCATGCTCGTCAAAGTCCAATAACAGGCTACGATAGTCTAATAAATAATTCAACATTTCAACATCCACTCAATGAAATTCCACGTCAATCTTATCGATCATCATTACATCCTCAATATCCAAGAAATAGTCAATATACTGGATCACAATCAAATACAAACGAGCCCACAATACAAGCGTCTCGTTCAAGTGAAGATCTTTTAAATCATCGTCAATCATCGCCCGATCCAATGGCGTCGATGCGTACTGGTGGTCGTGGTAATGGTTTTGGCTCAATGTATCCGCCTAGTTTTGATAGTCATTATCGATATCCATCATCCGATTTTTTACAACGAAAATATGATAGTCCATTACGACGTTCTTATGATGCATTAAATGATTATTCCGATATGAATTTTGGAAATTTTCCAAGTGCCTGGCCTGATTCTTCGTTCACAAATACTCATCCAATGTACACTCAACAACCACCACCACAACCATCTTATGTTAATCATGCTTATATTAATCCAAACATTGTTTACACGAATGAACATGGTCTACCAACAGACACATATTATCCTCAGTCATCGCAAAAAAATGAATACATAAATCCACAGCATCAACCAAATTTTCAAGGACAAACAAATGGAACACCGAATGGTAAAAAATTTTTTAAATTCCATAAAACTTTGAAAAGTATTTTTTCTAGTAGAATTATGAGAAAGGTCAAAAATCTGATAAAAGGTTACAATAGATGACAGTAGCAAAATTAGTTTATGACTAAGTTTAGAAATAGCGATATCGTTGATTAAGGTAACCTACAGATAAATAAACGAGTGCTTTTCTTTTCTTCGGACACTTTTTAGCGAGTTTTAATTATTACCCGATACATATTCTAACTCTCAAGAGTAAATATTATTTTATGTTTTTCTGAGACCATCACAGAAAGATTTACAATAACAATAGGGTATAACAATACGTCTCTCTGTCCTAAATATTCAACGTCTTATTTAAATAAATCTAACCAATATTTCCTCAGACCACACTTTATGCATTTTTCTCATACCCGTACACTTCGTCCTACTAATCAACAGCAATATAGTTCATGTGTAAATAGACGTGAATAATTGTCCAGAATTCTAGTTAATATAATTAATCCTACAATAGAAGGCAATCTTAACCTTAACCGTTAGAATAATTATTTTTCTTCTACGCAAGGTCAAATATTATAGTCTTTTTTATTTTTTTCTCTCGCCTTTCTTTATTCTTGTCTTTGAGTGTAGGTGAAATAGTCTTGTTTTACTCCATTCCCTATACATTTTCATATGGCTAGAGAGAGTTTTTTCTTTTCTTCTCTTCATGTGCTTTATTGTTCTATTTTTTTATTCTATGAGAAACAAAAAATTGTGTGTAACACACGTTAGTAACGGAACGATGGCATTTGCAATAATAAAGGAGAAAAAAAAGATAAAAAAATAAAAAATAAAGAAAGTATCTTTATATATAGACGAGGTGACTATGTATTGATTGTTATGGTGCTCTAAGTTTATAACATTCTTCTCTCCCTCTCTCTCCTCTGTCACTGGTTGTTTTTGTTATTTATGCCATTTTTAAACACACATATATAAATAGATGGGGGGAACATATAGCAAAGATTCAAGGAAACGTAAAGGTATTGGTGATGATGTTTTTGTTTTGGTGAATAACAAATAAAAATGCTAGCAATATTTTCTTCCCGCGTCATCATTCGTCATCATTTGCATATGATCAAAAATATCAATATTGAACAGAACAATAATAAATCATAATTGAAATATTTCAAATATAGAATAAATAAGGCAGCTACATATTCTAAAAACAGAAGTACAATGACTTTTAGAGAATAGTTCTAACATAATCTAAGTGCATGAGATTTCATAATTATTTGTTAAAAAATGTTTTTTTCTTCTATTTAGCAACATATGATCGCTCACGCTCTCCAGCATCAAATCGTGGAACATCCCCTGGTGCCCAACAACGAGAACATCAACCTCAAAACGCTACAGATGAACAGAAACCAATACCAATGCCGTACAACCATCCTGTGGCTCCGGAACAGACCGAATCAAAATTACCTCCCGGACCAATACCAATGCCTTATAATCATCAGCAACAACAACAACAACAACAACAGCCCGTACCAGATCAACAAGTCCCCTCAGCTGATCCAGTTACTCAAGCACCGCCACCACCTCCACAACGCGATCCAAATCAAATCGCATTAGAAAAATTAGAAAATATCAAATCCAGCTTAGTACTATTAGATAAACGTGTCGATGAATTTAATGGTACAACGCGAGATGAACGTTCTTATAAAGAATTAGATGAACACGCATTAAAATTAATGCTTCAATGTGATGAATTAGTTGAGGTAAGAGATGAAATTAAAGAAAAACGAAAAGAAATGATTCGAAATGTACAACATGTACTAACAAAACTTGAATCGAAAATACCTACGAACAATAATAATAAGCAAACCATGGATACAACATCGGTTGTTTCGGATACAAAGCAAGAAACATTGGGTGAAAATAATAATTTAATTGATGAATCAACAAAAACATCGTTGACATCAACTACAGATTCTACTGTAGAACAAAAACAAGCAGATGCAACAACAACAGTCACAGAAGAGCAACCACAAACATCTTCGTAATTATGATCTTCATTCTTTTTTTTTCTCTCTTCTTTTATAGATATGTATATAGAGATACATATTTTTTCTACTTGTTTTAATGAGAAGTTTTTGTTATTTATGTGTGTTTTTTTGCTGCTTGAGTTTTGTTGTTGTGTATTTCTCCTTTTTTTTTTTATTCATTGTCTTTCTATTCTATTCAGTGTCTCAACACAATTTTTGACCATTTTTCTATAAAAACTTTCCCAATAAGAAATAAAAAAAAAATTGATAGCCATTATAAAAACATTTTCTAATGAAAACACAAAGTCAGCTGTCATCAACGTTAAATTCCAATGTCATATAAAAAAGAAACTTGTTTGTTTTTGATCAACAGACTATACATTGATGAAAATTATTGCTGGCAAAATGGGCAACATTTTGTCACAATAGAACAACGAAAAAGTAAGCTAATCTTTTGATGATTACGGCAAAATACAATATAAACAAAATACAAATATCCAAAACTTGTCAGTGAATACAAGACAAAAAATTTTTTAAAAAAAATTTTTTGTTGTCGATATATCTTTGATGACCTTTTAAGTAAATTGAAACCAGAGCTGGGCAACTCATCTCCGGAGTTGAGCGTCTTTTTTTTGCGCAGTTTGTTTTTTAAACGACCGGAGTTAAGTTGGTGATAGATTTTGTCAACTCTTACTACGATACTTCGATTCAAAATTTCTTCAACCCCCATTTCCTTTTCTTCGCGAGATTTCTTTCTGTTTGGTTTTATTTATTTTTGTCGCGAGATATAAACATGTGTCCAGCATATGATAACATATGACACATCTTGCTGCACACAGGGAAGGAAAAGAAAAATTAACATTGTCGAAATGTAATTTTGACTTATTATCAATGATTTTTTTGTGTGCATACTATTATAAACGAAAACATGACCGTTATACGAACGAATTAAAAAACAGAAAGGAAAAAGAACGAATAGATTTCAATTCTGAGTTGTATTGAAGTTTTACCTAGCCGAAGTTGCCTACCTCTGATTGAAACGTTGAAAATTTAAAATAAAAATGATTTAGACTACTGATTATGTTCTGTTTTTTCTAATGACTACGTTTTTTTTAAAATACATGTGATCGATGATTAATTAATTTCACACACATTCGTCTCTCTAGAAGTCAAAACGAAGAGTAACCTTTTATTGGAAAACAAAAACATGATTCACCTTACTTTCGGATCCAATTATTTCAGGAATTCTATACACTCATGTTCTAACAGCATAACATAGATGATATAAGAGTCCTTCCACACAGGTCCGCCCACTTTACACAGAGCATCTTGCCGCGAAAATTTCACTTTGTCCGTCATGTAGAGCATCAAAAATAATCTGAAGGTCTCGCTTACGCTTTTTTGAAAAAACGTGTGGAAAGTGGTTTTCTAGACACCTCAAGTTTTTGGTGAGGGTGAAACCGAAGTCGTTGAAATGAACCAAACATTGCATAATTATACATCAAATTGTAGCTCTTGACGAGTTGATTCTAATGGTGAAGGAATTCGGCCACGATCTACCTTTACATTCGAGTGGTACTCAGTTTACTTGAAAATTTCCTGAACTTTGACCTCGATTTTCTCCTAAACGCTCCGAAAATTTTTTGAGATTTTTTTGAGAATAGGAACTACTTAGTAGGATCTATAACTTTCCCCGTACAACTATCCTCGACACTTTCCATTTTTCACCCTCAGTTTTCCAGAAACAAAAAGGTTTCTCGTTAAAACCTTACTTCATGAAAAGAAAATTGAGCTATTATGACTCTATATTCCTGTTCAGCATGAAGAATTCAACGTACTTTAACGTTTTCTGGGGCTTCTTTGTGTTTCCGTATCACAGTTTTCTAACGAGCAAACCCTCTGAGGTGTCCAACTCAGTTTTCTTTCTCTCATATGCCAATCGATAGCATATATCGAGGTAGTAAAAAATCTAAAAGAGTTCGTGCCCATGGCTCTTGAAGACCCGGTTTTCTGGAAAATCAGTTTTTCAAGGACTCTAAAAAATAACCCAAACCTTTTCTTAATAAGGCATGATTGTAGCGCGCAAATTTCTGATTAAAATGAGACATCTCCCAGCTCTATACAACCTTTCTTTGCAAAGTTATAGAGTTTACAAGAAAAGCCCCAAATTAATTTCTTATTTCTGTAGCTTTGAGCTGACAATGAATATTCAGGGCTTTTCTTGTAAACTCTATAACTTTGCAAAGAAAGGTTGTATAGAGCTGGGAGATGTCT